TGAATATGAATTATTATTAAAATCATATCCACAACAACATTATCATAATGCACCTTATCAATTATCAATTATACCACAATATTTAAATGGTAAATTTCAAGATTCACCTTCAGATTCAATTATTACAAATATTAAAATACAAAATAATGATTTAATTATTTTAGCAACTGATGGTTTATTTGATAATTTATATGATCAAGATATTATTGATTTTATTAATCAAAATTTTAATTCAATGAATGAATTTCAATTAGCTAAAAATTTAGTTTTAAAAGCAAGAAATATTGCATTTGGTTTTGAAAATAAAAATTCAACTCCATTTCAAGATCAATCTGAAAAGAATGGTTTTTATTATTTAGGTGGTAAACCTGATGATATTACTGTTGTCATTTCAAGAGTTAAAGAAATTTAATTTTTTTATTAATAAATTATTTTTAATTATTTTACATTTTTAATTTATTTTAATATTAAATATTGTAATAATAACATTGTTCTAAATTGTTATTATTCTAATGATGGAACATTCAAACAAGCACACCTCCGAATTGGAAGAAGGAATAATTAAATGGGAATTCTATTTACATTCCATTTCATCTTTGCCTTCTAAATAGTTCCAAATTCATTCAAATGGATGTGTCAATAAAACAAAATAATCAAAAAAAAAATACATTCACATATTTACCTACCACACTCATTTTCAACATGAATAATAGTCAATATAATCCACAACCAAGACCATACGTTCATCCAACAACAACACCTAATATCAATAATAATGGTAACATGATGATGAGCAGCAATAATAATTATAGACCAATTACTCCAGTATCTAATAATTCCAATAACAATAATAATAATAATAATAGAAAGCCTTTGAATAATACAAATACCAATAATAATAATAATCAATTAAATGGTTATACTACAACTTATTATCCACAACAACAACCAATATTGAATAGTACACAACCACCACCACCTAATAGTCAAGTTATCTATGTACCACAAAATAGTTTTATTCAACCACAACCAATTCCAACTATTATTCAACAACAACAACAACCATCATCATTATTTACTCAACAACAACAACCATTAAATCAACATCATCAATCAAATAATAATAATAATAATAATCAACAACAACAACAACAATATAATCATATTATTACAAATGAAAGTATTCAATTACTTGTACAAACAGTTCAACAACAATTAGATCAAACTAAAGAATGGAAATTATCAATTGATGAACAAATTCAATATATGGATATGAAATTAACAAGTATTTTAGAATTTGTTAAAAAACAAAATACAAATAATTTACAATCATTAAAAGATTTGGAAAATTATGAAAAATTAAAAAATAAGATTAATCAACCAATTACAAATAATTTAAATAATACTGTTAATAATTTAAATAATTTAAATAATCAAATTAATAATAATCAATCAATTCAACAACAACAACAACAACAATTAAATAATAATAATAATAATAATACTATTTCATATCCATCATCTAATTTATCTACTAGTCAATATCTTTCAAATAATATTGTTAATACTAATAATAGTAATAATACCAATAATAATAGTTCATACTCTTATAATACTACTAGTAATAATAATACCAGTAATAGTAATAATAATATTCCAACATTTACTCCACCAGTAGTAACAAAACCACCAACAACAACAAACACTCAATTACCAACTTATACACAACTTTCAAATCAATTTATTAATAATACTATTACTACTAGTCAACCAATTGTTACAACAACAATACCATCTAATAATGCTATTAAATATCAACAACAACAACCAACAACAATAACAACACTTTCAGATGATTTTGAATTAGAAGAATTATCTAAAGAATTAAATAATACTAATTTAAACAATAATATTAAATCAAATAATAATAATAATACTACTATTACTCAACAACCAACAAGTAATGTTATTACAACACCATCATATCCATCTTTTGTAAATAATTCTCAATATATTCCACAACAACAACAACAACAACAAACAATGCAACAACAACAACATTCTGAAAATAATATTGATTTTGAAGAATTAGAAAAGAGTGTTGGTTTTATGGTTGATATTGGTTTCCAAGAAGATTCTGCTAGAAATGCATTAATTCAATATAATGGTGATAGAACTAGAGCAATTAATTATTTAATTTCAAATAATAAATAAGATAATTATTTGTAATAAATATAGATGTCTTACTTAATAAACATGTTTCATAATTCAGACAATATTCTCCAACACTTTACCATTCAATTATTTTGTTGGAGTTTTTTTAGTAATCTTGCACCTTTTAATGATGATGTTCTTTTTCAAATCTTGAAAATTGTTTCACTGATTGATCAAGATTGAACCATATTATCAATAAAAACTTTGTGGTTATTTACATGGATATGAAATTTTGATTCTTAATGCTTAACCAAAAGAAATGCAATGTCAATCTTGTATCATTAAGAGAACAAGGGCTGTCTAAGTTAGTTCAATAAAATTGTAAACTGCCGTGTTAGGGAGTTAAGAAAAATTTCAAAGTCGAGCAGAGAGGCATTAATTTTTAGTCCACTGGCAGATTTCAACTGAATAACATAAGATCTACCTCTATGGAAGCAACTGAACAACATAAGGGTAGTTGGCTAGAAAATTAATACAACAACCCAGCATCAGATGGAATTTTCATGAGGGTGGAATCTTCTTCTAAATCTGCCCACCATAGTCTAATGTCACTAAGAGAATGTGTGGAAAGTTCTGTCAGATGTTGAAACAATTATTAATTAAAAAAAATAGAACAATTTGTCAAATGTGTTTAATAGATAATGAATTGATGTGTTCCGATACACTACTTTACACTTTTTTATTCCTCGACATTATAACCATCAATAATTCGTGCTTTCTCGTATCAAAACAATTCCATAGAATTGCCAAAAGTAATTTGATATGGCAAATCATTTATGATGAGTGGATGCTAGGTCATGAGAATGATTTTTGGTGGAAATTTGATCACAATGAATTTATTAATTCTTTTAAATTAAATAATGATCAGGAAGAACGATATCAAGATGATGATCAAGATGATGATGATGATTTTTATTGGTTTCGTAAATGTATTGAATTATTAGAATGTTTACCAAGGCAAATAGGTTTAATGAGATATTCAAAATTCAGGTATGAGTTGAATAATCGTGATGCAAAAGCTAAACCTCACTTGAAATTGGCCACAATATTAACAATCATATATGGGGGCTGTAATATTTCCTATTTCAGTACCAATGTTGCGATTGGATTGAGAAATTATTGTGAAGAAATTTATTGTCCTATTGTAACATTTTGCATCATGATTTTGAATGAATCATATTTGAATTGCTTGGAATATGTCAATCGACATAAAAAGAATACTAATTTGTGTGTAGCTGCATATTTTAGTGTAGATTTTAAAGATTGCTGTCATTTCAAACTTATGGATACATATGGCCATTATGATCCATTAAATGGAAAGCTAACCTTTTCAAATGAATCAGATGAATATGATGGATTTTCATGGTGGTGTCCTAATTTCTACCCTACAGGTGAATATTGTTACCTTAGCAAGGTTGTGGCATCGAGCATTGGACCTAGTACTATCAAGGTCAAGCAAATATATTCCTCAAAACAACTTGTTTGAATAGTAGGGAATAATTATTGGCATTTAACATGAATATTCCCTACTATATTCAATGCCCAATTGATCAAAAGTAATTCTATCTTGTGTTGTGATCAACTTTCTTCAGTTAATTAAATGAATGGCTACATAGCATGCCCACAAATACTCACAACCAATCGTAAAAATTAAAAATAAACTCCAAATTGTAATCATTGGAGATGGTTTTCGCTTTGAACTCAGGTATCTTGCTATGAAACCAAAACGCTTTCCGTAAATATATAAAAACATTCACTAATTTATTTTCCTTTCATCCATTTTAGCTGTTTACTACAACCAATACTTGTTTGATAGATATTGTAACATACTTATGTTTACATACTATTCGCTTTGTGATGGAACCACTTCAATCTACAAAACGATCCAGAAACGGTGTTGACAATGGTTATAGATCAGAAATGAATATATTCACAAACGCATCCCATATGTTGAAACTCTCGGAATTACAATATTGTAGAGATGTGATAGTTGTAGAACATGAGGACCTCTGCAACGAATGAAATATTACTTTTGTGGGCAAGTAGCGTATGTGCCTATAAAATATTGAAAATTGGTTAATGTTAACAATAACATCAATAATCATTGTACTTCTCAAATTATTAGAAATTGAGATCATACAACTTCCCAAAATCTGTTATTACATTTATGTTTATCACATTATCCTTGCTTTACTGTGTTGATAACTTTGGTATAATTGTTTGCTTTCTATTTCTAGGTTTGCAAACTAACAATTGCTCGGCACATATCTGTTCTTCATACCGCTTTGTGTATTTTAGCCACATTACATATTTAGATTACTCCTTACTTCGGGTAGCATAGTGTAAGTACACATGTACCACATTCGCAAGTTGCTACCGAAATTCGTTCATTTCAATGGACAGTTCCACGAACCGCTAAGTTTCTGATCAAACTACTGCTTTGATTGAAGGAAATCTTTTCAGCTAGCTCATTTACGTTTGAGTTTTTTTGTTATTGTCATCAAAATTAATGATGATTCTGTTCATTTCTTTTCAAGTAAGAATCAGAGAAGGTTGGAAGTCAAATGAATGATGTTATTGTTGCTAGAGGATTGTTATCTGGTGTACATTTGCTTTGAATCGTTCCTGTTGTCAACAACCAGCATTCATCAAGTCAAATTTCTCAATGTTTAATTAAAAATATTTATTTATAAATAATCATTTGCAGATCTGATATCAGCATATTGTTCCATATAATTCATTAATCTTGATAAAAATTGATTTGTTTTTAAAGTGTTTGAATCACCAATTAAACAAACATGTCTTTTAGCACGTGTGATGGCAACATTTAATCTTCTTTCTTCACTTAAAAAACCAACATCACCATTCTTATTAGATCTAACTGTACAAATAATAATTGCTTCCTTTTCTCTACCTTGAAATCCATCTACAGTTGATATTTCTACAAATGGAAATTCATCACTCAATTTACTTCTAAGTGCTTGTACTTGTGCACTGTATGGTGTTATAATACCAATATATTGTTCTGATATTTTACATTCATTCACTAATTTTCTTAAATAAATTTCAACTAGATTTACTTCATAATGATTCACTTTACTTTTAGAGGTATGTAATTCAGTTGATTCTTCCAAATCATCAAGTGTTACTTCTTCCATTTCACAATTAGCTGTATCTATCATAAATAATGGTGTTTCTAATTCTAATTCATCTATTATTAAATTATTTAAATTATTTGAAGAAGAATTAATTAATTTTGAATTATTTAAATTATTTAAATTAGTATTAGTATTATAATTTAAATTATTTAAATTATTTAAATTATTATCATTTAATAAATCAGATAATAAATGATATTGTACAGATTCATGTGCTTGTAATTTAGATTGATAAAATTCATTTGATGACCAATTCATAATTTCCTCATTCATTCTATATTGTACATTTAATAAACAAGTAATATGTGATTTAAATTTAAAATACATTCTTTCAAATAATGAAATTTCAAAACCTTCTTTTTGTGCTTGATTAGATAATACAGTTGGTGGTAATTGATAATGATCACCTGCTAATACACATTTTTTACCTTTCAATAATGCAATCCAACATGCAATTTCAATTGATTGTGCAGCTTCATCTATTATAATCATATCAAATATTTTATCACGTAAATAATAATCATCTGCACCTGTTAATGTACATAGAACAACATCTGAATATCTAATAACATCATGTATAGCTTGTTTTTCTTTTTGTTTTAATTCCTTTTCTAATATTCTTAATTCTTCTCTATATTGTCTTCTTTCTAATCCTCTTGTTTTACTTATTAATTTAGATATTCTAATTATATCTTTTCTAATATCTGCAATTACTTTAACTCCTTCACCTACTGATATATTATAATCAATTGAATGTTTTAATATAGATTCCATCATTCTGGCTGGATGTCCTACTCTACATATTTTAATCTTTCTAGTTGAATAGGTATTAGTATTTTCATCTGATAATTTTTCAACTATATTATCTACCTATTAAATTTAAATTTAAAAATTAAAATTAAAAATTATATTAAAATATTAAAAATAAATTAAAATTATATTAAATTAAAATTAAATTAAAAATATTATAATTATATTACATACAGCAATGTTAGAAGGAGCACAAACTAGTAATTTCATTTTTTTTAAAATAACAGATTGTCTAATTAATTCAACAATTGTAGTAGTTTTACCAGTACCAGGTGGACCTAATATTAAAGACATGTCATTGGATTTTAATGATTTTTTAATAGCTTGTTTTTGTGAATCATTTAATCTTGTACTAAAAAAATTCATTTCATCCACTTGATTATCTTGTTCATTCATTGATGGTAAATAATTTAATGAATCATTTGAATCACTATTTACATTTGAATCATTAGAATTATTATAATTAATATAATGATTAAAACATAAATTAACAATATTAATAGCAGGTGATTTATCATATTGTTCTAAATGTTTTAATGCAATATTTAATCTTTTAAATGTAACTTCATCTAATATTTTAGTAATTACTAATTTACTAGATTCATACCATTCATCTAAAAATTCATCCATTGTAACTATAATATATTTATCTGTTACACTCACTGATATTACTCCTCTAATTATATTTTTATCATTATTACTAGAATTAGAAGATGAATTATTATTATTATTATTAGAATTATCTAAATCTTTTAAAGTAATTGATTCACCTACTTTAAATTCAGGACCAATTTTAGATTTAAATAATAATTTAACATTACATCTACCATTACATCCCATTGTATATTCTTCTACTTGTACATATCTATAATTTTTACTATTTTTAGATGCTTCTTCTGATTCTGCTTCTTTTTCTAATTCTAACATTTTATTACTATAATATATATAATCTAATAAAGATGAACTATTGAAAATGTTATTATTATTATTATTATTTAATAAATATTATTTTAATTATTATTTAATAAACATTCCGATCATGATCATGTTTAAATACATACTATGGTTTTTCATTGATTTTCCTTTCATATCTAGCTGTTGTTGTATTGGAAGAAGATGCTGATGATGATGGTTTACTATTACCACTATTACTACTATTAGATTGACTCTTTTTAGTTGTTGTTGTTGTTGTTGTTGTAGTAGATGATTTTAAAGTTGATTTTGAAGATGATGATTTATCACCACCAGAAGTCTTTTTAGTATTTTTAGTCATTTTTTTGATTGTTGAAAATTTATGAGAACATTCAAATACCAACTTGCATTCAATGAACCAGTGAGTTGTGATTTATTTCAATTTTGAATTCCACCAATCATTAATAGAAAATTATTACTCAAAGAGTTTATGAACTTGAGGTGGATTTGAGTTGCTTGTTGAAGGGAGGTCTATAATCCTCTAAAAATGTCAAGCTCTTCTGAGAATGCTTTTTGACTTGTCGGTCCAAAGTTTGGTAGCAAATTCCGTGATTTATCATTAACTTTTTCATCATTATTTACTTGTTCACTACCAGTTTTTGAAATGATCAGCACACATTGTACCAATATTAAATCCCTCAAAATTGAAAAAATTGAAGCACCTTCTTCCGGACGTCCAGCAATGGCTGCTAATTTATTGAAGGTTTTGGAGCTCAAATATTCAAGAACTTATTGTTCATGGAGGATTTCCTCATTCTGATTTTCCTGCAATTTCAAAAGTAATTGGTAAAACTTTAAAGTCACTCTATATTGAAGAAAAGGAAGAAACAGAAGGTCACTCAACTCACTGTCCACAAGATAGAGATGGAACATTCGTATTTGGGTGGTGTAAAAGTTGACAAGAGAAAGGCTTTCTTCATACTTTAAGAATAGTTCCAAGTTAAAGTCAATAGTATTTGATCAATGTCATTTGAACATTGAGGCTATCATTGACTTTTTAATTACCACGTCTGAAGTAGTTGATAATGAACAACATTTAGAATTCCTTTGTTGCTCTGTCCTTGATTCTTTAAATGAGTGTACAAATGATACAGGATTGTCAAACTATCTCTCCTTTTCATTAAAGTATCCAAATTAAAAATTATAATATGTGAAATCGGGTGTGGTATAGTGGTAGCATTCCAGACTGTCACTCTGGCGACCCGGGTTCAATTCCCGGCACTCGAGATTGTTTTTTAACCTTATTTCTAACATTTGAGTTTTAATTTTGTTGTCATATGAAGAAATATGTGTTGTGTATCTATCTGTAAAATTTCAAAGTCTCATCTCTTAAAACAATCAAGAAAATAATCACAGATTAAACTCTTTCAGTTTTGCGGAAAAATTCGAAGCTCAAATAGCTTGTCTTCGAACCTTGTTCCTCTTCTAATGCTCTCCAAATTGGCCAAGTTGTGTTTTTAAAAACAAGGCCTAATACTTTTTGAAATCTTCTCCAACCATTACTTTCTATCTATTTTCTTCAGATGTATATTACCATACACAAAAACTATTCTAGAAATCTATTTGCAAAATTATCCTCCCATGCCGGGAATTGAACCCGGACCTCCTGGGTGAAAGCCAGGTATCCTAGCCATTGGACTACACGGGAATCTTATTTATCTAGAAAAAAATCCTTTCCTAAAACTGGAATCTTTCTGTAATTGCATAATTTCTTTCTAAATAAACATCGTTAAATAACCGTGTTCCAATCTTGACTTGCTCTCTCTTTTTACTTCTGTTTTAGTTGTAGAAATTTCAAAAAGTGTGTTTCTCTTTTTTATTTACAATATTTTCGCAAAAGTAAGGGAATTTACAGGGTGGTTAATCAAGGTTTGGAATAATTTGTTCTTGCTTAAGTGCAATCAACAAGACAGCAGCTCCATAAATTTCCTTCTCGCGAGGATTTTCAATTGATTGTGCTTTTTTGCTAATCTCTGACAGATCACATTTTGACTTCTTTTTCAAATCTCGATTTTTGTATTCTTCATCTGAACCCATTTCAGTACTTGAATTATCATCTTCAGAGGATTGTTCTTCATACATGTCTTTATAAAAAACAAAATCAGAATTGTCATTTTGATGATTAGATTGTTTGTAATCTGGAACAGAAGAAAGAAAACCTGTATGTGCTGTTTTGAGCTTTTTGCTTCCTCGTTCTATTGTGAGATGGTTTGTTGCTGATTTGCTATGATTTTCTGTTGTCATATTCGATGTACTATCTTCATTGTGAATGGAATTACGACGTTTGGTTGATGTGACAGATTGTCTTCTTGTCTTGTATGGTTTAGAATCCATAGTTTGTTCATCACTGGATTCTTCATCTTCAGAAGAAGAAGTTGATGCTGACTTTCTCTTACTACCAGAAGAAGAACTACTTGGAATAGGTGTAGAACCTTTACTGTGAGGTGGATATGGCCACTTATCACAACCGAGCTCATGTCTCATTTCATAAAATCTTGATAAAAGTTTAAATATAATTATTATTATCATTATTATCAACAAGTTAGAAATGTGTGTGAATAAAACAAGGATTAACATACCTTCTCTTGAGTGTACTGAGTGAAACATTTAGTTTCTTTGCTGCATCCTTTTGGTTAAGATGAAGACACGACCTCATAGCATGAACGTCTATGGACATGAAGGTTTTTCTGTGTTTGGTCTCAGAGTGTGATTTTCTCTTCTTTTTACCTCTTTTTGAACCATTTTCATCATCATCGTCTTCATCATCATAATCTTCCTCCTGGGAATTGTCTTCTGTGAGTGAAGTATTGTCTTCATCTTTCATGGTGGAATAGGAACCATCTTCACCCAGCAGTGGTGGTGATAATTGTTGTTCAGTATTACTACTACTGGTACTTGTGTTGGTGCTTTCTTCAGGAATATCCTCTGATTTCACTAATGATTGTTCAACTGAGCGAGACATTTGAATATATTTTAGATGGTAATAATATCAATTGATTGTGTGAGTAGTGGTGGTGGTATTGGTATTGGTATTGGTGGTATTGGATGGTTATGGTGTTGGTATTGGATTGGCTATGCCTTTGTGTAAAGAAGGCTTGTTCAATAATTTGAAGGATCCTAATAACTGGATGTAGAAGAGTGATGAAGGAAATGCAAGTCCTATAATACCCAATATTATGTGTAATAGATGGATACTAATAGTATGGTAATCTCAATGAGTGTATGTCTAGTACTACTAGTAATGTTTTCTGTGTGGTTGGCCAATAAAAAGTATTGATATCGAGCTCTCGGAACAATTTTGAGCTCACTCTCTATTAAATTACAGCCTTGGTAATATAAACACAGCTGTTGCAATATGGTGTTACTGTCCACTGACTAGTTGAGCTGCAATTAGCTGTTGTTATTCTTGTTGATTTAGAGAAATTGATGTGCTCTAAATTAGTGCTACTGTTGTTGCTGTGGTGGTGGTTGCCTACTTCGATGAGAGAGCAAATTGCTGACACAGAAGCCTTTTGAAAAAATGTGCGAGATAAAAACGGGAAACACAGAATGGGACGTGTTACAGTTTTTTTTTCAAATTGGATTTTCCTGCAGCATTATTTGTGCTGGCTACTTTTGAAAGGATCTGCTGCATAAGCTGTTGATGCAGAGAAGTTTCCAAAATGTGATTTTTGGTTGCAAGCAGGAATGCTGCTGTGGTGATGGTAGTTACTGATACCCATCAACATTATCTATTCAATGCATTGATCTTGTTGATGTTTAGAGTTGGTGGTGGTACAAGCTTGTAATGACAAAGGTAAATGGACTTGTTTGTTGAGGACAGTACGAAGTCACATCAAGGTGAATGTGGAGTTGTTGGAACGACCACCAAATTTGACGAGGGGAATAATTGGTGATGTGCATTAACTTGAATGTTGTTACATCAACCACGTTATTATTCATTACACGTGTCCTGCTCATTTAAATAGAATCTTGTAAGCTTGATTATTTATTGATAGAGAGAGCTAATTAACGATATAGAGAGAGAGTGTAGAGAGGTGGTAATATGAAGGAGTAATTGGTGCGTTCAATCAATAAGATGGAAACACTTTTCCCTACCAGAATAAATGGTCACATTACATCATTCAACAGACCTGTATCTCTGTAATATATAAGAGCACCGATTGATGATGGGCATGGTAAAATGTTATTGAACGAGGTCAATGACTAGTTGTGGGACTAGTCCTGTTGTGGTACTTTGATGTGAGCAATAATTGGAGTGAAAGAAGTAATGACACAATGTTATGAGACTTGAAGTAGTCAATATTTTGACGAGTTTATACAAGTGGAAAGGACATAAATGTATTGACCATAGTTTACAAAAAAATTAGTTCTTTAAATGAATTGTTACGATTTTTGTAGTCTGTGTTCAACATAGTGAAATACCCTCTTTGGCATTATCTGTAATTAATTCTCATCTCTCTTGTTGTATACAATAATTATAGAGAGAGAATGTATTTTAACTGACTTTGTCATAGTGTGACTGGAATGTAAAGTATCCATATTTGTTAATTCCCTTTAGTATCGATTTACAGTTGTTTCAATCTAATCAGAGAACAAATTATATTTAAAAATTGTAGTTGAAGGTTTCGGTTGAATGTCTAATAATATCCAATTAGTTTCTATTATTATTATTAATTTCTAAGTTGATGTTGCTTTTTGATTGAAGTTGTAAAATGAACTATTCAAAAATCCATAAAGATATTTTCCGTTATTGTCCCTTGCTTCTTCTTCTTATCCATTTTGAATGCAAATTTGCTCCACACAATATTATCTTCTTCTTCATCATGATGATTAAAATTCTTTTTCCATCACTAATTTTAATTTTAATTTTATTATTTAATATGTCTCGGAGCTTTCCAATTTTTGAACCAAATATTCTTAAATATCTCCACCTGTGAGGGAAGAATTATCTCGATTAAAATCCTTAATTTTGAATCATCCAACAATTATTATTAAAATTAGCAACAACACAACAGGTTCATTCTCCACAATAAATTTCATTCACCATCATCAGCACGCAGCAGGCACCATTAAATTTTAATTATTTTATTAGGCTTCATTTTTTTGTGAAGCCTTTGTTCAAGCCTCCGTATTGTTGAAGGAAGGAGCAGCTATCATCTTCGTCAACCAAAAATCATCACAAAAAAAGTGAAAGAAAAAATAACTGCAAATCATTATACTGATCACCTTTTACATCATCAAAAAATTAAAACGGTTGCTTTATAATACAAATAATTTATTTTTGCTCTCTGGAATTTTAAATCAGAGAGAATAATTTAATATAAATTTTCTAATTGCTAAATATTTATTATTGGATTGAAATGCCAAGAAGAAAAACAATTGATGATGAGGTTGATGAAACATATGAAGATGAATATGATAGTCAATCCTCAGATAATGTTTCGGATCTAGTTGAAGATGAGGATTCTACACAATCATCAAAACAATCACGAAATGAACCAACACAAAGTGGTCCAAAAAAGAGAGGAAGAAAACCAAAAAACGAATCTGGAGTTAAAACAACAAAAACTAAAAAAGCACCAACTGGTAGACCACGTGGAAGACCTAGAAAGAATCCTATTCCACCTTTAACAGTTAAAAATGATTCACCAACTCCTTCTTCACCTTCTGGTGGTGTTGGTGGTAGTGGTGGTGGAGAAAATCAATTTGATAGTCTTTTATCACTTGGGCAAGCAGCTCTTTTAGCTTTAACTACAGTATCTGATGTTAAAACTGAGGATGATAATTCTTCTACAGTACCTTCTTCTCCAGCAACACCTTTATATCCTTTAAAAAAACGTTTTCTTGCTCAGTCAAATGTAACTCCAACTCTGGAAAAGGAAACTTTGGTTGTTGAAAAAGTGGAAAAACCTGAAATTAAACAACAGGCAGTTTGTTCATCACCTGCTCAACCTGTTAAAAGAAGACCAGGTAGACCTAGAAAGGATCAACAGACAACACCTCAAATTATACAACCATCATCAATACATGAAACAAAAGAATCTCACAAGGATGAATCAGATGCTAAGAAAATGACAAGTAGACAACAAATATTATATCTTAAAAAATTAGAAGAGAAACGAGAAAGTGATTCTGATGAATCAACTCATGAAAAGGAAAAAAATAATTACAATGACAAGGAAGATGATATATCTCTAGAATTTGACAGTGATGAGTCTGAAGAGGAAAAAAAGAAACCTAAGAGAAAAGTTTTGAAGAAGAAGGCTTATTCTTCTCCATGGATGAAAGTTGAGAAAATAACTGTCAAACACAAAGGAAAAGTTATTGGAAATTTTGATGTTTCTCTTTTTGGATCTGAAGAATCTTTTACACTTGATGTTGGTTCAACAATTGATGTTGGTAAATTATCATTAGAAAAGGCTAAAGATATGGATTATTCCTCTTTTTATATTTTATCCTTCTCATCGAGGAGTAAATCTGAAGAAGACAAACTTGAAGATTTATATAACACTTTAGAAAGAGATGATTATGTTGGCAGTGTTTCTTTTGATGATAGAGTTTTATTACTTATACCTAAAAAGAGTAGATTTACAAAACCACTAGGACTTTATGAAATACAGGATGAACCAAATAAGTTTATTGGAGGTTTATTTATGAAAGAAGTACCATCTAGTCCTGAAAGAGTTTCTAAAAAGAAATCAAAATCATCTTCTAGTGCTTTTATTAGCACACCTAAGTCACCTATTTTATTCACATCTGGTATGGATGAAGATTTAAAGAGAAATCAACTTTCTCTCATGTCAATACCAAAAATTCCTAAGAATAAGCAAGTAAGCAGCAATAGTGGTGCAAGTGGAGATAATACTCCAGTTGAAGATGTGAAACCAGAGTCTATTTCATTAACAACAACAACACCAATTTCTATACCTCCTCCTAGTTCAAACTTTACCACCTCTCACATCAACACACCATCATCATCTATTAATTATCCTCCTCAAATTGATAATAGAAATAATGCCTTCTCAAATGTAATAAGACTTCAAAACTCCAGTACTCCACTTCAATCGAATCAAGTTTATACTTCATCGATGTATAATATGTCTAAGAATCCAGAAGTTAATACAGGTTTGATTGTGACTCCAAATGGTCATTACGATAAACCAATGGTTGAACCTCCTCAATCATCTTATCCATCAACAATGAATAGCGGTAGATATCAAGACACAGGTTATTCAATGCAAGATCAATATCATTCTTCCAATTATTCTCATATGCAACAAAATATTCCATCAAGTTATTATGATAATTATGATAATGATTTAAAGAGAAAGAGAATGCAAAATTTCAATGATCCTAATCGAACTGTATCTCCAAAGAGAAGAAAGAGTGATGTTCCATATCATTCACAATATTCCTATCAACAACAATCACATGTTGTTGATCAACATTCAATACCATCTTCAACCTCTTCACAACCACCACCACCAATGGATATGTATAGATCCTATCCTCCTCCTCCATCCAAACCACAACCACCACCACCAATAACAACAACAACACCAACTACTAGTATTCAACCTCCACCTCCACCACCTCCACCTACTAATTCATCTGCTACTTCAGTTGTACCAAATTCAAATCAAACTCATTCATATAGTTCAAGATTTAATCAATCCTATACTCATAATTCATATCAACAATCAATTCCTCCACCAAGAAGAACTGATACTCAGAATACTAATAATTATGGATATAATTCTAAACCTACTTATAATACACCTCCTTCCAAACAACAACAACAACAATATTACAAGAATGATGGAGATTATGATAATTATGATCGTCAACGTTCATATAAAAAGTATGATGATAGATATCAAGGAAATGGTGGAATGAATTCTTATTCAAGAAGAACAGATTACATGTCTTATGATAATGATTATTTCTATAGAAAATCTCATTATGATAATTCAAGAAGATATGATTCAACTTCAAGCACTGCAATTCCACCACCACCTCCACCACCACCTGAAACACCAAAAGATGTTTCAATTGGAAATGATAATCGTACTTCTCCAAATGAAGTAGATGATTATAATGATGTTGGATTTGATGAAGCTGCTGAACCAACAAGACATTTATGGGTTGGTAGATTCCATAATATGAAAATGGATTATTCTACAATTTATAGTGATTTTGAAAAGTTTGGACAAATTGATAGTTTGAATTTATTACGTGATCAAAAATGTGCATTTGTTAATTTTGCACTTGTTAAAGATGCAGTAAGAGCAAAGAAAGAGTTGGAAGGAACTAAAAAGTACAAAAAGATTGCCTATCAAAGAAGAGAGAAAAAGACAAGTTATTCTTCAGATTATAAGAAGGGAATGATGCCATCATCATCATCATCTTCTTATGGACAACAGAGGAATGATCATAATAATAATAATAATGGATATCATAATGAATCATCATATCATTAAAATAAATTATCTCTTTAAATCTTTGAAAATTCAATGTTTGATTGACTATCATTTGTCAGTCACCACATTATAATTTTAAAAAAAAATAGTCGAAACTAATAGCTCATCATCATTCACTTCGGAATAATATTATCAATTTTAAAAAATAATAGCAAAGATGAATCAATTACAAGAAGATAATTATTATGAAATATTAAAATATTTAGATTTTAAAGACTTGTTATTAAATTGTACACTTGTTTGTAAAATGTGGAATTTTATTATTAATGAAAAATTAAAATTTGGAATTTCAATTAATCATGAAAAAGTATTAAAAAAATTTCAATCTTCAATTTCATGTTTTAAATTTGTAAATTCATTAAAATCTAATTGTTTCAAACATGACATGTTGGATAAATTTACAAATTTGGAATATTTAAAACTTTCATGTCAGGAAAATATTCATACAAAAATAATTGAATTTAAAAATTTAAAATATTTAAATATAAAATATGTTAAAATTAATTTGGAAAAATTTGAACAAATTTGTAAAAATTTAAAATATTTAAAATCATTTAAATTTCAAAATTCTCTTCCAATTAGTGATTGTATTAATATATTAATTAAATACTTACCAAATATAGAGAATACAAATCTTACTAATGTTGGAAGTGATGAAATTAACTTATTAACAAATTTAAAAAATTTAAAAAATTTAAATTTAAAAAATATTAAAAATGAAGGTTTTGAATTAATTTGTAATTCATTTAAAAATTTAAATTCTTTAAAATTACCAGATAATTCAATTTCAAATTTCAAATCAATTACTAATTTAGTAAATTTAACAAAATTATCAATTGATTCAAATATGGAAATTAATCAAAATATGGAATTTATTTGTAAATTAATTAAATTACAATATTTAAATTTAAATTATTCTTTAATTACAACAGAAAATGTTCAATTAATTTGTAATTCTTTAAAAAATTTAAATTATTTATCTTTAAAAGCAAACAAATTAAAAAATGATTCAATTAAATTTATTAAAAATTTAAATCAATTAACAAATTTAAATTTAGAAACTAATTTATTAGAAAATGATTCAATTCAATATTTAAATGAATTAAAAAATTTAAAAGTATTAGATTTGGGTGAAAATAACATTTCTGGTGAAGGAATGAAAAATTTAAATCTACCTAATTTAGAATCATTTTCTATATTTAGTAATTATATTGGAGATGATGGTGCTCAATATATTAGTGAAAATTTAATTAATTTGACAAGTTTATGTATTAGAAAATGTTTCATGTCTGAACAAGGAGTAAAATATTTAAAATCATTAAAATATTTAATAGATTTATCAATTGATCCACATTTGGATGATGAATTTTATGAAGATTATTATTAGTATTATATGAAGATTGATAATTTATTCTAAAATAAATTTTTGTTCTTCTTTAATTTATTTATCTATTAAAAATTGATTCATAAAATAAATAAGCATACTATACTTAACCTTAATATCAAATCAAGAATACATACTTTGTGAATGTGAAGCGTCGATGGTTTAGTGGTAGAATACGGCGTTGCCATCGCCGTGACCCGGGTTCAATTCCCGGTCGACGCAGAAATTATTTTGCATTTCAATACCTTTTCATTTTCTCTTTTTCAAAGTTATACCACTAAAGCTTGGCATATATCACTATCTGAAAATCAAAAATAACATGTTTAAACTCAATATCCATCGAGAAAGAGTCCTCAGTTTTGGACACAATTTTTATTGATTTTTTTATCTGTTTAAACTGTAAAAAAATCAAGTGAGAGAAGATAAGTTTTTGTTAAATAATAACCTCCAATTGATTGTTTTTTTATCGATTTTTCATTTCTATTTGGTAAATTGTTAATTATTCTTAATTTTGTTTGCTTAGCTCTGTATCCATCATGTTAATTCAGTGCTTTCTTCATGAATATGAAAAATCGTGATAGATTCACATTGTAGTAGTAGATCTTCCAGAATGTCTGTTTATTCTTCAAGAATTTAAGCTATTAGGTCTTCTTCCTTAGTATTGTTATGGCTTTCACTAGATAACCAACATTGTAAACAAGTAAAAAGAGAATAAACACCAAAAGCCAAATAACCATCACAACAATTCAGTTGTGTGAAAATTGGATACAATTACCCAGTTTATCCAAAATTCACCGATCCTCCTCTTCCTTTTTACTGTCAAATCCATTATTCCACAGAGAAAAAAATCAATGCGACCAACAACACTCCAATCACTCTCAGTATTACTTCTGATAACAATTGTACTCTACATTATTAATTGCATTACTATCAAGGCAAAGGCAAATAATAATTCAATTATTTTGGATGAAGGAAAATTTGTAAAATTACTAAGACATGGTCAAGCCTATCATAATTTATTAGGTGATGCAAATATTAGAGATCCAACACTTACTCCGAAAGGAATTGAACAATCACGTCAAGTTAATTCTTTATTTGTGGAAGTGAATGATCAATTAAATACTCATTACAATAATATTAAAGAATTGGAATTTAGAAAGTATTTAATTATTGTATCACCATTAAAGAGAACTATTGAAACTGCTATTTATGCTTTATCTGCTCAATTTATAAAAATTGATGGAAAATGTAATACATTGAAAGATTGTATTAAAGTATTACAAAAATATAATATTAAATTATTATTACAACCTTTAATACAAGAAAGAGAAGCAGGTAAATTACCATGTGATACAGGTGTTGAATTGAAACAATTGGACGAAGAATTTTATCAACATGAATTTAATATTTTAAATACTACTTTTATGGAAAGTAAATGGTATGAACCAAAAATGGAAATTAGAGAAAGAATGGAAAAATTTAAATATTGGCTTGATTCATTGAATGATAGTAATAATATTATTATATTTACTCATCATGGATTTTTAATGGAATTGACAAATGGAATGGAATTTGAAAATTGTGAAATGAAAAAATTTGTATTTAAAGAAATGAAATTAATTCCAACAATGTAAATTGTATATAACTAGTTATTAATCATTAATAAACTATAGATGTAGTTCTATTATCACGGTAGTAACACAAAATATCACAAATTAATTGTTAAAAAAATAAATTATTGTGTTTACGGGATAATTTAAAAAAGACTACAGCACCACAGGTTCCCAAGTTGTCTCCAACCTCAGTACTGATGTGGCTCGACGATGCTTAACTTCTCAAATCGGACGGGATGAGGTGCATTCATCGTGATATGGCCGTAGCCATTCATTACATTAAAATGTGAAATATAAAAAATATGAAACCATTTTTATTAATATAATTTATTAATATTTTAAATCTAATAATTCTAAATTGGAAATTTCATTCATTCCACTATCAGAAATTTCACTTGAATAAACTTCAAGTTGTTTGAGTTTCTTTAATTTTGCAAAATGAAGGATTGAATCTCCGATAATATTGTGACTAACCTTTAATACTATTAAATTACTCAATTTGGAAATATTTATAAATGCTTCGGAAGTTAATTTGCATTCATTAACATTTAAATGTTCTAATTTAAATAAATTATTACAAATTTCCATTGATAGAAATGAATTATCAATATTATTATTGTGAAAATCTAAAAATGTTAAATTTGTCAAATTAGAAATTGAATTTCCAGAATTGGAAATTAAATTATATCCAGTGGAAAGAAATTTCAATTTTTTCAAATTTGAACATATTTGATAAAAACCTTCATTTCCAATATTATTATCACCAATTGATAAACTTGTTAAATTTCCTAATTTGGAAATTTCCTTAGCCCCCTCATCCGTTATATTATTGCACCAAACATCAAGACTTTGTAATGTTTGAATACTAGCCAATAACTTTGCACCCTCAACACCAAGTTTACTCCAACAAACATTTAAACTCGTAATATTAGCAATTCTACTAGAAATGTAAAGAAGGCTAGTTATCGGTTTGGAATATAAATTAAAATGATATGAAACTCTATTAAATATTAACCAATTAAATTGTTTGCAAGTGAGCGAACATGCAGAGATTAATTGTTTCTTATTAAGGAATTGAAAAATTTCACACCACAAATCATCACAAATATATTTAGTGGTGGTATTAATATTACTATAATTATTTGTATTATTATTGGTAGTAGTATTAATAAATGATAATTCGTACAACATTTTTAGAGTTTGAGAATTTGAATTTTTGGTTTTTTTTCTAAGAATTTCGTTCACAACATGAGTTTGCCTTAATATTGATCATATTTTCATGTTGTTAATTATGTATCTAAGATGGGACCTTAGAATCTCACAATCCTATGGATAATAACAATTAATTCAAAAGAATGTTATGTATTATCTATTTTTAAAACATTATGTTGAAGTCTAAATTTCAATATTGAAAACTGTTGATTAATTTAGAAACCAACAAAACCACAATAACAATTTTATTTTCTCTCTTCTCCATTCCAACACCATATTTTACGACTAGATATATTGAGAATTACAAATAGTTACCATTAAATGGAACAACAGACCAGCAAGTCAGTAATCTCCCTGAGGAGATTACTTACTACTGGTAAAGTAGTTGGGAATGGGGAGAAAGGATTTAAAAGAAGTCCTTACTCAACATATCCCGATAAGATGAACTGTATGTAATTCTTTTGCATATTTTTATAAATTTAATTTTATAAAAAATAAAAGGAAATTAAATTGTCCGTCTGTGGAATGTAGACGAAACTTGTAATTTTGATTAAATTCTTCAATATTGAGACTGAGGAGAAAATAGTTCAAGAATGAAGATTTCATTTTTGAATATTCGAATCGATTTTCACAACTCCTCAAGTCCTGTGAATTCTCAATGTGAGCTTTTCATTAATTTTCCTATCTGAAAGTTAAAAAATTTTCCTTTTCACAACCGAAACAAACAAGAAAAAACGAAATGACTCAATTTCCTATGGAAAATGTCTTTCCATCATTCTATTGTGAATGTTATCCTCACACGAAAGGAAAGGATCATTACAACATTGCAATTGCTTTAATCTTTCGTCAATGTTTCTATTCGAATTCAGATGTGGCAAGTTATGTGATTGGATGGTTGAGTATTCTTACTAGTATGATTAGTTTATTTCCACAAATTATTAAGAATTTCACATTGAAATCCTCAGCTGGCTTATCAATTTATGTTTTTGTAATTTGGATGATTGGTGATATTACTAATCTTGTTGGGTGTATTTTGACTAATCAATTAGCAACACAGATTTATTTGGCAGCTTATTATGTTGCAATGGATGTGATTATTATTTCACAATATATTTGGTATGAGTTCAAGTTTGAACAGTTTAAGAAGTTGTTGGAAAGAGTTAGAAATTGGAAGAAATCAAACGAAAGTTCAAAGCATGCAACTTCATCTCTACAAACTAGCACAAGTGGATCTACATCTACTGAAATGACAACAACTCAAAAGACCATTCTTCCTTCTCACTATTTACCCAATTTGTTAACTCTAATTATAGTAATATTGATGATTGTAATGGCAGAATTGACTCAAGGTGAAGAGGAAATAATGATGATGGTGCAGAGTTGTGTTTCATCCACTGAACAACCTCAATATTTATACATTTTGGGAATTGTTTGCTCATACATTTCATGTATCTGTTATGTTGCAGCACTAGCTCCACAAGTTTACAAAAATTATAAAAGAAAAGGAGTGAAAGGTCTTTCAGTAAGTTAATTCTTAAATGTCACGTTTCAAACCAATTGTTCAGCTCTTAATGTTTTTAATTGATGAATTAACTCAAATCCTGTACATTGTCAGTATTATTGTTGCGTATGGACAGGAGGATGCAGTGTTTGATCCAATATCTGGAGTACCTTATTTACTTGGAAGTGTTGCAACCTTTGGTTTTTCTTTCATTATTGCCTGCCAATTTTGGTATTATAAAAAGAAGAACAATACTCCAATTCAAGAGATGCCACAAAATGATCCACAATCTGTTGAAAATAAATAAATTTCTCCTTGTTTTCCTTTTAAAATCGAATATAGAACTATTGTGAAGAAATGTTACAAGTTTATTAATAACTGTAAATATCAGCACTAACAGCTTCAGATTCACAATCACATTCATCAGTACCTCTCTTAATCTTACTAAAATATAATTATTTGATTAATAATCATGAATAAATTAATAACTTACAAGAAACCTATTGAATTAAAAAATATTTTAACATGTTCATGAAATTGAATATTCCAAATTAATTGATAATTGATTAATAACTCAAAAATCACTCATAAAAACGTACCGTTAATTCCCCATGATGTACCCCATGAATTCTTAACTAACCAATATGGAACTCCATTTTCTTCACCCCAACCAACAAGCAAAACAGCATGGTTAGTTTCTTCCCAACCTGGTTCAGCAATCTTGGTCTTGAGAGCAGTTGAGTGAGTGTAAACACCTCCCTTATAATTGAAAAAGTCATCATAGACTTCAAATGCAATAGCAAGTGGACCTCCATGATACAATTCATACATCATATTCTTAGCATTAGTAGCTCCGTAAAAACCTCCAGTGTAGGCATAGTTAGTACCATAAGCTCTCTTTGGACATTGATCCTTCTTACAGACACTATCAACACCCTTGTATGGATCACATGATTCTTCAGCCAAACCATAATCTTCAGCATACTTGGAAACCAAATACATGAAACCACCATCACATCTACAGATATTGTTTAGTTAGTTACCAAGATCTGATTGATGGTGAAAAATAAACTTACCCTTGAGAATATGCGGAACATTCAACAATATCTTGTGGAGAATAAACTGGTGTCTTAGTACCATTAGTAATAACACGAACTCTACTGCCAAACATGTCACTTGAACTGAACGCATAGCAACTTCCGCAGACTTACCATATTTGGTAATTCAAAATAAATAAGTTTCCATATTTGATCAATTCAAAATATAAATAAAAAAAAAAAAAAAAAAAAAAAATAAAAAAAAATAAAAAAACATACACCTTGATTTCTGACTGGAACAACCAAATTCATGCCATTAACATTGGTCCAGGAGAATTCCTTTGGCAATGCATTAACATCTTCTTCAGTAATAATCTTCTTGTTACCATTAACTCTTGCTTGAGTTTGGAAAATAGTTTGGAATCTTTCCTTTTGAGCCTTCAAAGCAGCCTTACGATTCTTGTTAGCAGTACGACCACCAGCAATTCTTCTCATAAATTCGAGAGATTTACCTTCAAATTGTGGATAGGCAGTAGCTTGCCACATCTTTTGACTCTTGTTAATAGTATTAATCTTTTCCATATTATTGGTAAAGACCTTATTCTTCAAGTCAACCTTTGGAGCAGACATGAGTTCATGTTCATGAGTGGATTCAGATGGAGCACCAGTTCTAATACCTCTGAAACAACCGAACTATTTCAATCATCATCACGATCATTCAATTTTGTTAAAAGTTATTGTAAAATAGGTTGAGAATAGAAACAAACCTTCTTAACAGCAATACCAGCATCATGATACCAACCAGTGAAGGTTTGACCACAGTTACTAGTAACAACCTTTCCTTGTTGGGTATAATTGAAGAAGGCGAAATACTTTTGCTTGTTAATAACAACTTCAAAGCCTTGATCCTAATTTTGTATAAATAATGATATGATGATGACGATGATGATAATATAATGTTTGTATTAATATTTGGTTCATGATAATAAAGTGCGTAATGATTAATATATTAATACATGATAATGATGAATGATGATGAATAATTAAAATATTAATATAAAAAATGATGAATAATTTAAAACGTACATAAATCAAAGTCCAGAAGCCTTCATTTCCTTGTTCATCATAAACAACATCAGGAGCCAACAATCTCAATTTAATAGTGTCAACATTAACATTAGGAAGAGGATTAGTCAAAGCACAAGTATTATGAACAACATCATTAGAGAATGAAGTTGAGGTACGATAGAAGGTCCAATCACCGAAAACTTGATGGAACAAGCAATGGACAGGGATATCACCGTTGACCATCACAACCAAACCACACAATAAGAGTGTGGAAATGATTACTTGAGAAATTTTCATTTTTTTTTAATTCAATTGAGTTGAAAGGAACTTTTGGGGTTTTGAACTCCGGAGGTGGAGTTTTGAATGACCTTATTAATCCAATATGATTGATCAGATATTGAATTTACAATATGTGTTGATTTTGTTTCTTTCGTTTATTATTGAATAAGGACCTCTTTAATGGTAAGACCATTTAAGTTTTTCATTTCAGTGGTTCCAATCTATCTTATTTCTATTCTTTGAAATTCAACAATCAATGTTAAATAACAATAAAAGATGAAATTATTAATAGTATTTAATTAATTCAACACCTTCAATAATTTTCATCACTTTCAAAATTCAAATTCTATTAATAATCTTCTCGTTTGTTCCCATCACCTTAAATATTCCAACAACACTACATGTTGCACAATATATTTCTATCAATCCAAAAAAAAAGAGCAATGAAACGAGAATTGGCCAATCTTTCATGTTCCTCTGATTCCAATCAAACTAATAGAGATTATAATGGCAATAATTCATTCATGAGCATGAAGAGAGTTAAAACCAATGAACCGTTACGTGCTCGTTTCAATACTCGACAAATCATTCCATACAAGACTAGAAACATTCAACAATAATAAATACTCCTTTCTCAATGAACCATTCTTCAATCTCTTGTTGCATCAAGAGATTAAAAATCTCCAATCACTAAATCTCTTCTCTGGAATGAATTGAAAATATTACAAAAAAAAACAACAAAAAGCTTCCGAAGGCTTTGCAAAAAATCTTCTTCTTCGTTTAAATCAACAACAACTGCTACATCTCAGGTGTCTCTACTTTAGGAACAATAAGAAAAAATGGGTTTTCTTAGTCAAGAACAAATTGATCAATTTAATGAACAAGGCTTTCTCGTGTTTGAAAATTTCATTGCCGAAGAAATGATTAAAACTCTTCGGGACGAAATTAAAACAATTGTTGAGAAGGATTTTCATCCTAATCAAAATCACTCTATATTTTCAACTTATAAACAAGATTCAAAGAGAGATTTGGACAGGTATTTTGATCAATCCATTGATAATATTTCCTTCTTTTTAGAAAAGAGTGCAAATATTGATCCGAATACAGGTGAATTAAAGCAAGATAAATTTACTTGTATTAACAAGATTGGACATGCTATTCATGATCAAAATAAGGTATTTAGAGAGTTTTCCCATCAGGAAAGTTTATTCGAAATAGTCAAGACACTCTCACAATTCGAAAGACCATTGCTTTTGCAAAGTATGGTCATATTTAAACAACCTTTCATCGGAGGTGAAGTTATAGCTCATCAGGATGCAACATTTTTGTATAATGAATTGGATGAAAATGAAAAGGAGAAACCTGTGATTGGTTGTTGGTTTGCATTGGAAGATGCAACAACAAAGAATGGATGTTTATATGTGTTGCCAGGATCTCACAAATGGGGATGCGTAAAGAGATGGGAACGTACACCAATAGAGAAAGAAAATGGTTCAGTTGAATATGAAATGAAAATGAGAGTGGAAAAACCTGATTTATTGCCATACACTACAGAAATGGACTATGATCATGACAAGTATATTAGTGTTGAAGCAAAGAAGGGCACTTTGATTATATTGCATGGATATTTACTTCACAAGAGTTTTGAGAATACTAGTGAAAAATCAAGAGAAGCTTACACACTTCATATTTTGGATTCTTCTAGACCTCTTTCAAAGAAATCATGGATTCAACCAAAGAGAAAACTAGTTAATTATTATTATGAGAAATAGAATGTACATATAAAAAATAAATCATTGATTGTGTTCATTGGATGATTTATTATTATTAAGAATTAAAAAAGACTACAGCACCACAGGTTCCCAAGTTGTCTCCAACCTCAGTACTGATGTGGCTCGACGATGCTTAACTTCTCAAATCGGACGGGATGAGGTATATTCATAGTGATATGGCCGTAGCCAATCTTTACCTTAATTTCTGAAAGCAATGCCTTATCAAAAATTGATTCCTCGAGAGAAGGTTTGAACTTCACATTCCTAGAAACAAATTCAACGAATCTCGGTACATATTTTAAATATAGTTTGCCAATTTGGAAACTTTATTCACATAACTCATTGGTGAAAATTTCCAAATTCTGTTGCTCGATATTCTTTTGAAAAAGAGCCCTTCCTTCATAATCCAATTCTTTAAGAAAGAAATTTCTCTAGCGTAATATATTGCATAGTAGATCTATTTCTTGGTTGGTCTATCACAGAAATCCCATCCACTTGAATCTTCCATTAGTTGTTCTGAAAGATCTAATCTCATATGAGCTAACATGTCATCTGGATCAATGGAAGTAATTTGTTTCCAAATAGCATAGGATGCCTCAGGATTGAACATTTTTGGATTATAGAGTAAATCAGTGGCACTCTCAAACAAATCCTTTGTTGATCTTTTTGGACAATCTTCGTATGGTAAAATTTCAATAAGTTCTACAGATTCCTTCTTACCAACGACAGCTACTTTACCAATTCTTCTAAAGAAGTTATCCTCAGTATGAGGAGTGGTATCCAAAATATTTCTTGAAACAAGAATTTTAGCTCCGTATTGTTTTGTTAAAGATTCCAATCTAGCAGATAAATTGACAGAATCGCCAATAATAGTTGGATCCATTCTCTTAGATTCTCCTACCAAACCAACAGCAACACTGCCTCTCACAATACCAATTCCTACTGCAAGGGATGGATATTTAGGACCTAGGGTTTCATTAAATACTTCGAGAGCATTTTGAATAGCAATGGCAGCATGAACTGATTGACCTGGTTCTAAGAATAAGGCAGCAAAACCATCACCCAAATACTTATCAATATAAGCATTGTGTCTTCTAATAATTGGACCTACTACCTTCAAATACTTGTTAATGAATTTGAATACTTTTTGGGAAGTGAGACTTTCACTAATACCAGTATAGTTTCTAACATCCACAAACATAATATCCAACTCCTTTTCAAAAAAGTCGCCATGTCTCAGATCAGTAACCTTGTCCTTATTTACAATAGTCATAAATTCTCTAGGAACGAATTTATGGACAGTATCTTCTTGGAGTGAGAGAATCTTCTTCCAAGGACCTACAATTGTCTTGGAAAACACAATTGCAATAGTAGTACTCAAACATGTTACGAAAAATGTAGCGACCACAAATCCAATAAGCGATCCAATAGCTTGATTATTCAGCTGATTTGCATAGTCGAGAGAAGTATTTCTCAATACATCTTCAACTTCTCTCATGGCATTAATCACCAAGGTCATGTTATTAAACCAATCTGTTGATTTGTACAAAGTCAAACTTTGATAATTGTTAACAATATACGTTTCCATTGTTTTACATTGTGAATAGACAGGAGTTGAAGTAACTCTATTGATAAATTCATTATGGAATTGGTCATTACTCTTTAAATCCAAGTAGTGTTGAAGAAGGTCACTCTATATAATTGAGGTAGTATTTGCAATATATAATATTAAATATCATCTTATTAAGCTGTTAACAACACTTACCTGTGTTTGGATTTGAAGGAAGTAGTTATAATTTGCCGTGGACAAACGACCAGCTGCGAGACCGTTTGAACCTACTGCTCTCTTCAAACCATTAAACTCTTTCATGGCAGTTAAAAAGTTATATACCGTTTGTATATTAGTAAAGGTAGCATCAGTACTTTGTCCAGAAATCATCAATATAGTATCAATCATTAATGTATTCCAATTTGTATAATAATCTAGGGCAACCTTTGTTACATTGAATTGTAATTTCCAAATCTTTTCTCTCCAGACAGGAAGACCAGCAATATAAGTATCAATTCCTTTCAAGTTATCATCTGAATTTTTGTATATTCTCGTAGAGTCATCACCTAATATTTGGAGAAGGGTAACCTTTCTTGCTTGATAGGCCTTAATAGCATTATCAGTATCATTTCTGTACTGAGGCAATTCAAGAACAAATGATTTACCTCCAGAGCCCATGTATAAAGATGATGAGCCTCTCTCAATTTGTGTTCGATGAGTAACATCAGCTAGTAAGACCGACAATTCCGATAAGCTTTGAATTTGGTAAGCTGATTGTATTTGTTGTACGGATTTGACAATTAGTAATGAACCAAATACAAATAATGAAAGAATAGCAAAAACAACAATTAGAATAAGTTTGACCATCAGAGGAATTCTCTCTAATAAACCCACTATTGAAGTACTAAAAACAGAGCTATTCAAAATTGATGTAGAAGTTACTACTGATGAAAGTGTTTTCCTAGTTTCTAGCTCATCCTCCTGGTGGTGTGCTTGTTGTGGTGTAGTAGTAGTAGTAGTGACTGTTGTTGTAGTAGTGGTGGCGATTGTTGGTTGCTGTTGTTGAAGTGGTGGCATGCTATTCGTAATATAACTAACAATATTATCAATGGGAACAATGGGAATATGAACGGATCCTCCCTCTGAAAATTGTCGAGGGCTTTTCAGTTCATATAAAGGTTCTGGCATTATTTTGTTATTTTTGACCATAATTTCAAAAAGAGAACGGGCAAGTAGTGGTGTAGGACAGTGCAATAGAGAATCACTATTTTGTTTGAGGCTGATTATATTGTCCTGATAAATTGGTTGTTGTTGAATGTGTATATGAGTTGTAGTGGTATGTGAGTGTGATTGATTTTTTCTGTAGTGTCCTTAAAACCTTGTCTAAGCATACTACTAAGGAAAGGCTATTTGGGCTGCTGAAAATCACTCAACATTGGCCAGCCTCGTTGTTGCGTCTAGGTCCACACCATCATATTTGAATTGGGCATAATCGCGCAATTCTACACCACAAAACATGGAAAATCAAAGCATCAGTATTATTATTAGCGCATGAGGCAGAATGGGTTAATTTCTAATAAGGACCGATTAGTGATGATTTAAGAAAATTTGAATGCCTTAGAAAGATATTGAGATGCAACTTGGCATTCAATAAGGTCATCAGTATTAAAAAGACAATTTTGGCCACCACAAATCTGGTAGGATCCTTCAATCTTGTGCTAAAGTACATATCTAGAAAAATTGAGCAACAAGACGCACCACTAAAAGGACACCATCTTTGAATTAATCGTAATAGTCACTAATTTTGAAAGTTGTGTTGTTGTGATGATCTTGCTAAATTGTCTTTTTTATCCATAGAATAGACAACATTTACAGCAGTCAAATTATTTGTAAATTATCTTTAACACATCCAACTGTTAAATAATACCGAATAATTGGCATGTTAATGTCTAATACGTTGTTCGTATTTTTTTTAAAATTGTTTGACAGGTTAATAATTATTTTACAATTAATTTAACACTCTGTTGAGTTAAATTAATTGTATTAAATATATAACCAATTCAATACACAATTTAAAAAAAGTGTGAAATAAGGCGCCCTCTTTTCGAGATGAATCAAGAGCTACCATTAATTAATTATTACCCACAGCAATATCACCAAACAAATATGATTGTTTCGGTGCCTGTTCAGCAATCGATCATTAATCATCAAGAACACGATCCGAGGAGTGTTATTCCTTCTATGATTCCGAATGTGCAAAATTCCCAATCTATTATTCCTCAACCATTCCAAATAATGTGTATGCAACAATTAGATCCCTCCTACACTCCAACAATCATGACTAATCCTTCTTCTCCTAAGGGAAAATTTAGTGTTGAAAAGGATTTATTGGGAAGAATTGTCATTAAGCAACCAAGTGGGAAAAATGGTTGGATGCTTACTCTTGGTATCGCTTTGTTATTCTGTCTTCCTTGTGCTGGAGCTTTGATTCTTTTTGCTGTTTACAAAACTATAGTGTTGGAACTCATTCTTAATGACTCAAACAAAGAGCTAATTATCAGAACATTTGGAATTTACACTAAAAAGGAAGAAATAGTTACTATTCCATATGCAAATATTGCATCTTTAAGCGTTGTAATGGATCAATCAATGGTACCAGATGGATTACCGAATGGAAAGTTCTTTATCATTACCAAGGATCAGAATAGTATGCAAGTTAGAAAGGATGCAATTAATTATTATTCTATGGTAAATATGGCTCAAAAAGCAACTGATTTGATGAATGAAAGAATTGGTAGCTTGTAGAGCCTTAATAAATGTCATTATTTCATTTTGGATTTTTTTGCATGCTCTAGAGTATCCATTGCTGATTCAGATCTTAATCCAAGCTTATTGATCCTTCTGGATGTTACAGTTGTTGAAGGTCTAGGTTTTTCGTCGATTGAAGTAGCAACACTCTTACTTCTCTGTTGACCAATTGATGGTATTCTGTGAATATGTGGAGGAGCCTGCACTTCAGATGAAGCAGAAGCCACTTGTTTTCTTCCCTTCACGCCAAACTTTGGAACGACAGGAGCTGAAACTAAATGAACATTTGTAGGACTGACACTGTTTGTTGGTGTAATGGAATTAAAACTATTTCTTTCATGAATATTAATCAAATTAATGCTACTTATATTCATGATACTATTATTTGCTGTAGTTGTAGAGTTGTTGAGCTTATCCAATTGACCTAATGTGTTAATATCATAAAGTAATGAATCATCTGTAGGTTGAGATGGTTGAGTTGGCAGAGCTGGGGTTTCTGCTGATTTCTTACTTGTTGCTGGAAAACCTTTGATTTTTAACAGTGGTCTCATTAGATAATCTGTAGGGGTGATATGTTCATAATCCTCTTCACTATCACTATCACTATCAGTCTCCAGTCCAATTTTAGATTCATTGCCCAATTCTGAAAGTATTTCCGAAATATTTTGAGGAGTGTATCTAATAACATTAAATTCTTTCTCAATAAGATGTTCCTTCTTAGAAGGGGACAATGAACGAGTATTTTGCTTAATGTCATAATATTGGCTTGTTTCTTCCTCTTCTAATTGTTGAAGTAATTCTTCTTTCATTTTGCTAATTGAGTCAGGATGACCTTTTGACATTTGATTCCAGCTTGTCAATACTTTTTCTAATCTGTCTTGCTCTTCCTTCATCAATGCTTCCAATCGTTTTTGTTTCGAAGAGTTACTCAACTCAATATGTTGTCCTAATGACTTGAATAGAGTTGGTGTGGTTATAGTGAGGGAAGCTCCTGGATGAAGTCCTTGAGAGCTGTTTGGTCTGCTGCCATTACTACTGGTAGATCTTCTATTACCATTATAATTTCTGGTACTTCCATCAGAGAAGAGTGTTTTTGAGTATGAGACGGTATGGTTAGGATCAGAGCCATCTATTGGATTTTTACCAATAAAAAGATCCCCAAAGCCATCATTGTTGTCACCCAAAATTCTTGAATTACCTCTATTTCTTCTTGCTAAATTTGTTGAAAAACCATGTGCATTATTTCTTCCATTGAACGATCCAGTATTCCATGTTGGTGATAATCTAGAATTTGATTCATCATCAGCTCCATTATTACCTCTATTGAGGAAATCAGCAATGGACATGTTTGGATTATTAAAGTCATAAAGCAAATTTCCATGCTCATCATAAAATTTACGATAAAGAGGGTGTGAAGGATCCATATTTCTAATAAATTCTTCTGTTAATTCTTCCTCATCCAACTTGTACTTGTAATTGTTATTGGTTTTATCTTTAAGGAATTCACTGCGTTTTCTGTTTTTAGAAATTACAACAGAGAGTTTCGTGCTTGCAGGTTTAGTTGATTTACCATCACTATTCGCTGTTGTATTCCCATCACTATTTGATTTATCATCTCCAGATCCACCAGCTCCCTTCTTTAAAACCAAATTACCATTTTCATCATAGTAATAATCATTATAACCATGTTCTCTCAATTCTCTACCCTCTTGACTGATAAGTAATCGCTCAATAAGAGTCATGGTTCCAAGTCTTCTTTTTGGTCTAATTGCTTGAATATTAACATTGTTGTCATCCATCATTGCTGAAAACTTGACGCTCTTCCTTTCAGGTTTTATCATTTGAGTATGTTCATCTGGATTAGTAGGGGAATCTGTGACATCAAGACTCTCTTCTTCTACTACTGGTTTTTCATCTTCACTGATAGAAATCACAGGAAGGGCATTATCTTGGTTAGCAACCAATAATTTGGCTTGTTCTGCCTCATCCATTGATTTTCTTCTTGCTTCAAGAATCATTTGTTTAATGTCATTATCTCCTCTTGAGAATTCTAATGAGGCAAGTCTATGGAGACGTTTTTCAGGAGATGAAGAGCGTTGATCAACCATTATTTCTTCCTCTTCATCATTTGTAGCGTCCAATAAAACAGATGTATCTTCATTGAGGGGTGTAGTTGGTGAGGCAGTTGACTGGGTTTCATTCAAAGCTTCTTCCCCTGGTTCTGGAGTTACCACTGTTAATGGAGAAGATAATGCTACTACTGAAGATGATCTGGAATTAGTATTTCTACTTGATGATCTACTACTTGTTCTGCTATTAGTTCTACTGTTTCCTCTACTATTACTTCTGCTTGACCGATTACTCTTACTTTGTTGCTTAGGTTCAGCTTCTTTCTCTTTTTGTAATTGTTCCTCTTTGATTCTTGCTTCCTCTTGTTGTAATTTTGTCTTGAACTTGTGGAAATCATAGTCTGGATCACTTTCATCAATTTCTACTGTTTGAATTGGTTCTTCTTTTGGTTTTGGAACCTGTTCAACAACTTCTGGAGTTATCTTTGGAGAAGGTATTGTTATGTCTTGAGTAGAGTTTGTGCTTCTGGTAGTATTCATACTTGTAGGGATATTACCCCTTGATGTATTAGCACTTGATTTTGATTTATCATCAGGTTTAAGTGATTTTAAGGCAGTGCCAAGGTTAGTATTTGGATTTCTACTTGAAATTGGATTGTTATCAATAGTAGATCGACTACTAACAGGAATGTTTGACTTCCTTGAACTAACCTTATTTGTTTGATCAAATGAGGCTATGCTTAAAGTTGGGTTACTTGTAGATATTGTCAATTCAATTTCATTTTCTAATTCATCAGGTTTCAATTCTTTAAATACAGTTTTAGGGAAATCAGTCTGCACTCCAGAATCGCTTCTTTCAATAGGCGGAGGAGAAACATACTTTTCCACAACTTTTTCAACTGTTTCAATAACTCTTTCTATTACTGGTTCTGGAGGTATAACTGCCTTATTTTTTTCTGCTAAATCAGATTGAAGATCACTGATTTCACTTCTAAGATAGGATATTTTAGAGAGGAGTTTGGTAATTTCAGTGTTCAATTTGATATTTTCATTACTCAAATCCAGAATGTGCGATTCCTGAACAGTGAGCAAATCATCCTTATCTGCCATATCTCGTTTCAGTCTTTCGATTTCATTAATATAATATTGAGTCTTATCAACATAAGTTCTTTGATATTCGTCTTTCCATTCATTCAATTCTCTTAATCTGGTCGTCAAGTCTTCAATTTTGAAGAGGAGATTGTTCTTAGTTCTTGTTAAATCATCCTCTCTAATGTGAGATTTGTCAATTTCTTTTTGTAAAATGAAAGTCTCAGTTTCTAAAGCTACAATTAACTCTCTATAGGCCTTATACTTTCTTAGAGGTTTCATTATACTTTCTTTTATCTTTTCAGGATCCTCAAAGTCTTTAATTTTTGCCTGAGCTTCATCTAGTTGGGCAGTAAGTTTGGTTATACGTTTTTCTTTTGATCTTATTTGTTTCTTGAGTTGAGAAACGACAGGATTGACAACTATTGGAGTAATTTCATCTCCTTCTCCAACATTAAAAACACTAGCATTAATATTATTAGGTGCTTGACTTGTTGTAGTGGTATAGTTAGTGAAAGTGGTTGTAGCAGAAGTTACTGAGACGGTATCATCATCTTCATCTGCCTCTACAGAACCAGGAGATCTTTCTGTTGCTGATCCTGACTTATTTAAAGCAGGAGTTGCAATATTTACTGGTGGTATTGCAACTTCCTCCATAGCAACCATAGCTTGTGCTTTTTGGATATTTTGTAAAGCAGATAGCTCCCTTTTGATTTTTTCATTCTCCTTCTCTAATTGCAAAGCCTTATCAAGTAATGATTGATATTGATCGTGTGGAATGTTATTATCACCGTATAATCTTTGAGCTTTAAATTTGAAAGCATTCGCTGTCTCCATTAACTTTTCAATTAAATCAGTATTTGTTTGACTATGCTTTTTCAACTTCTCAAAAGTATCAGCTTGAAAAGTATTGATAGAGTTCAAAAGGTTTCTAATTTCATTGTCTCTATCATCAAGAGCGTTTTTAGTTTGTAATAAGATTTGATTAAGTTCCTTAATATTTTCATCTTCCAAAAATGATAACGTTAGAACTGCATCAAAATTTTCAGGAAAGTAAGAGGGTGGAACGTATTGATAGTTGAGTTTTGTTAGTTCTTCTTTCAGACAAAGTATCTCTTTGAAATATTCTGTTCTTTGCTCTTCAAGCATTTTATCTCTCTTTTCCACAAGTGAGTTTAATACCTGATTTTCCACTTGTAATTTTCTGTGTTTATCAATACCAATTAGATTAGAATCGTGATTTTCCTTATTAGATTCCATTTCTTGTTCCTTCTTTAATTGTAGTGAGCTTTTTAGTCTCAATACAAATTCTTGTTGCCAAAATTTAAATACCAGGTTTATCCTCTCATCGAAAAAGCTTTGTATTTCCTCGTCTGTCTTGATTATACTACCAGTTCCACTCTGTTTCTTCTCCAATTTTTCCACTACATTTTTCTTGAAATTGTCCAAAAAAACATCCTCATCAGTTGTTGTGATAATATCTACTTTTTTGAAAAGTTCAACTTTAGTGAATTCCAAGTGCTCAGAAAGTCTCTTGACTACCTGCTCAATAAAATCAAGTGTTTCATCATTACCGTCATCGTCAGTGGCCACTTTACCAGTAGCTCCAAACTCGCTGAAAGTAACACCTTGCTCCTTTGCCTCCTTTCTCCTCTGCTCCACCACATCTAAGTGTAGCTGAGCTAATTTAGCGATAATTTTCTTATCCTTAATTTCATGAGCAACTCTTCTCAGTGTTTCCTTTGTTGGTGCTTGATTTTTTAGTGTTTTAATTTCTTTCAGAGCTGATTGAAATTGGGGAGTGTTGGTATTCAGAATTTTTTGTGACTTGAATTTTGTACTGAGAGGTAGTAAGAGAGGGGACGGAGAAGCTGTAGATGGAATTTGAGACATTTGATCGAGATATCCCAGCATTGACTCATTATCGTCAGGATCAGTTGTTTTTGAAACGAGTGAGGCTGAAGAATTTTGATTACTATTATTTGATTTGTAATTTCTTCTCTTATTACTAGGGGAAGAATTCGAGTAATTTGAAAAAGCCGAAGCAGATCGTGTACTCGTTGCACTCATTGGAGTTGTCACTCCATTGTTTGTAGTCTTAGCCGGAGGAGATGATGACCGACTACTTATCATACTACTATTATTACTAATGCTCGTCATTATTTACAATTCTTAGTTGTTGTTATTGATGATGATTATGTACATGATATATTCGTTAGTGATGAACCTAGATGCTTGCAGATAATTTTTTAAAGATGAATTTCAATTACTTGAATTTTGGCGGGAAAATTAAAAGGCTTGAAATGAAGATAAAGGGAACGATTAATATTGTTGACGATAAATATCAATGATGATACGATATCCAATTTGTCATCTCAATAATAATTTAATATAAATATAAATAATTAATATTTAAATAAAAAAATGCGAAAATTCTTAAACCTGGGAAAGAAAGGAACATCAACAAAGGACAATGACACCTCTTCAGCCATTCCGTATGATGAAATTATGGATCGGGTAAAGCAAGATCAAGAGGAAAATCAACAATTACAACAACAACAACATGAACCTCTTAGTACGGGTGATGATTTTATTCTTGCTTCACTTGTAGAATCAGGCTTTATTACAGGAAGTATTAAAACAGTTTATGAAAGAGGAAAGGAAGATACTTTTTATGAAAGTTTGGATAATTTTCTTGATAAACAAAAAACGGAAATTGAAACTATTTGTAGTTCTAATTATGAAGAGTTTTTAAAATCTGTTAGTCAATTGAAAAGTGTTAGAAGTGATGGTAAAATATTGAAAAAAAAGATTATTGGTCTTGATGAAGAAGTTCAAAAAGCTGGAAAGGAAGCTCTAGAATGTGGTAAACAACTTGTTTTATATCGAAACATTGCTGAGAATATTCATTCAGCACTTCAAGTTGTTGATCTTTGTAAGCATGTTTCAACATTAGCAACAAAAGTACATCAACAAATTCAAGAAGAAAAATACTTTTCTGCTCTGAAAACTTTGGAACATTTAGAAAAATCGATAAGAACTGTTCACAAATTTAATTTTGCTAGATTTATTGAAAAACAAATTCCAATTTTCAAGAGAAAAATCAAACAGAATGTTGAAAGAGATTTTAATCAATGGTTAGTGAATGTTAGAAATAAGAGTAGAGATATTGGTAAATCAATGATTGAAATGCAATTTTCTTTAATGACTACTAATGGAGTTAAATATGACGATTTTGTCAAGACCAATAATTTCAATTTTACATTTCCAAATATTGATATTATTAATGACAGCTTGACTGTATTTGATATTCTTGAAAAATATCAAGTTGAATTAACACCTGTATATACTTGTAAACATATTTATGAATCTATGGATTCATATGAACAATTCAAAGGTTACTATAAGAGAAATAGAACTATCCAGTTGAATCATGAAATTAATCATGCACCACTTCTCGAGCAAAAGAAATCAGACAAGGATACATCCATTTACCCTGCCACTGTTCAAGAATGGCTTGAAAGAATAATTGGTTTCTTTACTGTAGAATCTGTTACCTTGAGAACAACTTCAAGTTTATTATCAAATATTGAATTGAACTCTATGTGGGAACAATCATTGCAAAAAATTCTGACATCTATTGATGAACACTTGGCTATTCGTATGAATAATCCTAAAGAGTACTTGAATATGAAGAAGTGTGTTTTAATTTTTAGTTTAACAGCCTCTGAACAATTGGGTCTTCACACATCATTATTGATTGATTTGTTAGCTCACTATAGAAGTGCCTTCTCTAACTCTATAGAATTTAAATCAATTAGTAATATTGAAGATAGTGATTGTAAGCAACCTTTTACTTGCCCAAGAACAGACAGTGCCGAATACAAGGATTTGAAAAAGTATGGACTCATGCAAAATCCTAACAATTATATTGCCTTTTCTGAGATTGTTTTGACATTGGCAACAGAAGTGGAATCTTTCATATTGGACTATGAAGTTTATTGTGATAGAATAGTCTCCTACACAACAAGTATCAAACAACTTAAGAGTGGTATTATGAAACTATTCGAACATGCTGTAAAATGTTTAGATAAGGAGTTGAATAGTAGTACTGGAACTGGTATTGCTAGATATGTGCAAGTTGTTATTAATTATCAAGCCATTTCTGATTATATCATACCTTACTTTGAAGATTTTTATGGAAAGAGAGTTAAACAACAATCTACTTCCTCAACTACCTCTTCATCTAAGAACGCTGCCGTTTCTACCTCTGAATCATCAACAATCACCTATTTCAAACAAGTTAGTATGCAAGTTCAACAATCTAAGGAAAGAGGAGAAAACTCAATCCTGAGAGAATTGACCTCCAAATGTTCTAAATTATTAAGTTTTTGTCAAAATTTCTCATTTGCTCCTGAATATCAAGGAAACGGTGTTATTGGTACAATTACTGACAATTTTAAAACACTTGGTAATAACTTGGGTATCAATCAACAAGATCCAAAACAACAAATGTACAACGAACCTCATCAATTCGTATTCGACATGATTGAATATTTGGATAATGCTCATCGTACATTACAGTATCTTAAGCAAGAGAAAAAGGATCAAATCATGTTCTCTGCATGTGATAGTATAGCTCGCTATTTGCAAAATGTAATAACAAAGGAAATGGAAATAACAATGAAAGGAATTGTACCACTGTATAAGGATGTGCAATACTTACTCAAGTTTTGCAATGACACAGAGGGATTGAAGAATTGTGCCTCTTGTTTTGCAGAATTAGATTGTGTATTACGTTTCCTGATTGACGAATCAAAATTTTCAGAGGAAGGTTTGGTTAGTTGTGATGAGGAGAATAGACAATTGATAGAACATGAAAAAGTAATGCAAGAAATTATTGCCAAATTCGAGAAGACTGACCTTAATCGTGACAAATCGTACCTCTTGAAGAGTGTTTTACAACATTTGAAGACTTCACGAATTGAATTTTTCAAGAGAACAGTCTTGAAGAAACCAGCACTTTTGAAGAATTTGAATTTATTCAAAAAATAAATTATTGTTAATATCATTGTAATATTAACTAGCAGTTAGAAAGTTAGTAAACTTATAAAATTTCAAATTTCTTTGGTGGTTCTTCTGTGAAATGAATAATAAAATCGTTAGCGTCAATTAAGGAATTCTTGTACTTGTCATTTTCTTCGTCATATTCGCTGAAGAAACATCCACCATGCTCTTTGTCGAGTGGTTCTGATAATTTCAATATTTCTTGATGTTGAGCAGTGTTATCATTAAGCTTATCCAGAGCCATTTTTCTTAACCAAAAAGCTCTATCAAACGCTTTCAAAATATTGTAATAATCTCCTTCTTGCATTTCCAATCTGATGTTTGGGTTCTTGGCATGTTTTTTCATGAAATGGCAAAACTGATCCAACATGGAATGTGATTTGAAAGTAATTTCAGTTGGTATTTTACCATTACTGAAAAACCCTCCATCTCGTGCTGATCTGGTTCTCTTGAATACCTTTTCGAAAAATTCCTTTTCATTTTCCTTAATTAAATTTTGCATTTCTTTTGAGAGTTCTAGAGATAACTTGTTCAATTTTCCCATTTTAACCTTTTTGAAAAATTGTTTAACACAAGTATTTTGATTAATCTTCTTATCAAAAATGGATTCCAAATGTAAGGTTTGTAATAAATCTGTAACAAAATGTTGACAATTACATGAGCGAGTATTGTATAAATGATAAATATTCCATTTTGATACAACCTGAGCTATTTGCAAAAACATTTGATCCAAGTTATCAGATCGAATAGTAGCAACATCCAATACAAAGAGTGGATTCATACTTCCAGGTTCTCTAATTTTAACAAGACTACTATCATTCCATTCTAAATATACATTTCCAATTAATAGAGCAACATGTACTAGACCAAATTTGCTTTTGATTAAACCACTTGATAATCTCTTCAAGTATCTATTAAAGGTTAGATCGGTAATAACAAATTTGATTTTTACATATTCTTTAAATTGATTACCATTACTAATTACATTATTGCTATTAGTATTACTATTCGTATTGTTATTATTATTATTATTAGTAGAATTATTACTATTCGAAAATAATAAAGGTTTGAAATAGACATATTTCAGTCTTGATGGAATGGCCATATTTTGAGCTTTCCATGTTAATTCTATTGGTTCAACTTTCTCGGCTCTTCTTTCGTTTTGAATCTTTAATTTTTCAACAACTCGGTTAATTTCTAATTGAAAGCGTTCATAGTGTTCATCATCCAAATTCCACAATTCCAACTTTGATTGATATTTACGGAAAGTAGAAGTAATACTTGTTGAATATTGATGAATAATTGATGAATCCGTCTGTACAACAAAAGAACTACTACTAGCATTTTGTATTGGATCACAGTCTTGAATTCTTGGTGATTTATCCAACTTGGATCTCTCTACCTTGTCGGTAAAATCTTCAACATAATCACCTACTGACACTTCTTGATTCTTATCAGTTGAATCGGAATTTTCATCCTCCTCTTCATCGTCCTCTTCATTATCATCTTCGAAAATATTTTCTTGTTGTAGTGTTAGAACACTTTTAATATAATCAAAGAATAGTAATAGAATTGAATCCACCTTCTCATCATGTTTTTCATGATAACTCAACTCGGTGTCTTCAATAAATTGGTCAAAGGTATATTCATTATCATTCTCATCAAATAATTTAAAATAGGTACCATCAATAGATTGTTCTTTGATCATCTCTACACATACTTGGACGATATCTTTCTTATGGTCGTCTTGTAGAGTAAATTCATTAGATTTAAATAAGAATAATTTAGTTACGTCCGAGACTGTCCATTCATTAACTTTTTGTTTTAAAAGTACTTCTTCAGAATTTCTCTTCTCTGTTGCTGAATTATTATAACCCTCCATAGATAGACCATTAATATTATTATTAGAGGTTGGAGAAATTAGAATTTGAGGAACATCCTGATGGTAACCATTGGCCGATTGTTGTTGTTGTTTCAAAGACATTGTAGCAGCACTTCCAGTGAGAGTATTCCCTCCCACTTGAACATTCACTTGTTGTTGTTGATGATGTTGGTGTTGGGTATTATCATTGGCTTGAGATGAATTATTAGTGGATACCTTTTTTCGTTTCGACCCAGCCGAGTTGTTTTGTCCCATCGTTTTGCTCGCTCTTTTAAAGGCTTTTTTTATAAACTTTGTTTGTCGGGAATTTTTTGTTATTGCTGGTTTTTATACACAATATTGGCAGGCAATTAGTAGATGTTTGATTGTTGGGGGGGATTAGGAAATTCATTGGAGGAAATATATCCTTGGTGTACTTTGTTATTATAGATTTCAGAAAACTTTTATCACTGATTTTTGTTTCTTCAGTACAGCTGTACAATTTGAAAGCGAGGAGGGAAGAAAAGATATTATTGGCAACTTGGATCAAATCAAGTTGTGATTTAGGGGTAGAGCTTCTAAATTCTCTGTCCTTTACGCTCCTCATCCTTAATTTTAGATATTTCACTTTGATTGTTGAATCAGTAAAAGGATTCATTAATCCTTAAATATTGTCAAAAATCGAAAGCATTTTCAGCCACTTTCATGGGAGATGTTATTTCAATTTAGAGCTTGGAGACAATATCTAAATGGATCTGTCCATTTAATATGGAATTTTAAATTTAATTTGTAAAATGAAAATGGAAAATCAAATCTATGCTGGAAGGGACACAGTTCGATCGGCTCTTAATACTGTTCAGAGCAGTTCTCATAGAACAGTAAGGAAATACGATTAAGCAATGAGTCATGACCACTCGATCAAACATGTTCTATCTAGAAAACAGGACTCTATCTATTCAGAGAGAATTTTTGTCTCGGTTTTAGAGCCCAAATTTCCATATTTTACCCAAATATTCTTCTTTTTAGGATGCCTAGTTTTTAATAGAGCACAACGAAAAAAAACAACGAAAAATACCCAAGCGGTTTTCTAAGGGTGAAAATAACGACAATTTCTCATCATCACACACGATCACCATTAATTTATAAAATCAATATAAGGATGGGATCTGCCATATCAACAACACAATCACTTAACGTGACTAAGAAAACAGCCCGTTCTACGAATTATGTAACAGCCAAGAGTGCTACTTTTGAAGCTCAATCGATAGCAAATCCAACCACCTCGATAGGCAATTTTAATATGATCACCTCGTCAATAGAGTCAGCTCCAGCAAGCACTAATATTAAACAATCACCATCAAAGAAAAGACTCTCGCGGCGATTGTTAAACTCTTCAATGAAGAAACAACATACAGATGTCGACTTTAACACACTAGAACAGAACTTGGCATCAAAAGATTACGGTAATATGGAAGATTATGCACTGACATCACCATCTGACCTGAAATGTTTAAATACCAAATCTCCAACATTGAAGAGATACTGTAAATCATTCGCCAAGACTCAAATTTCACTATGCCCAATGCCTCTTCCATCTATACACCAAGGATTCGATGTGTCGTCATCTCATGAAGATGAATTACAAACCAATTGTGAATCCATTGTATCATCATTTAGATCTAATTCCACCTCCTCCTCTTCCCTTCTCTCTTCCCAACAATCGAGTCCTAATTTCTCAGGTTCCATGCTAAAAAGAATGGAGCTTGACACATACATTGTACACAAGCAAAGAATTGCTGGGAGTGAGGTGCGAGACTTGAAAACCTATCACTTCCCTTAAAATAAAAATCGAGTTTATCACCCAAGGCCAAATGAAGTGAATTTTTCCAGTAATCTTAAAGATCTTATGAGTAGTTAGTTTTTTAACAATAAGCAAATGAAAATAAAGTGTTTGATAATAAGGAAACAGATTACAAGATGTTTCTTTTGAGCTTGTTCTTCTTTGCATTTTTCTTCTGATAATTAATGCGTCCTCACTCGGCTTGCAAAACTAGCGCTTCCAACACCCAACCCAAAATTTCTCAGATGAAGTTTTCGAAACAAAAGTAAAAAAATTTGGAATACACAATGCAACAAGATTCAAGTAGTAACAGTTCTAATGATGAGAATAAATCTCCTCCACCAACATCATCATCAGCATTTGTCACATCATCATCAGAAGCTGGATTGGAGGCTAATTTATCACCAATTTCTTGTATTTGCTGTAGAAAGGCCCACAAACGTTGCGATCGAAAGTTTCCCTCATGTTCGAAATGCATTCAGAGAGGAGTTGATTGTTTTGTAGGTTTAATTTAAATTGTATATACTGATTATAAATTAAAGTATAATGAACCTAAAAAGAGAGGAAAAGCCTCGGAAACCTACAGACAAAAGAAGAGAATTAAACAAGATGGAACTGAATTAAAGCAAATTGTTCATTACTATTACTCGTACATGGCAGGTGGTTATCCAATTATTGTCAAGGCAAAATTAGAATACTTTATAGATGAATATTTGACACAAATTGAAAATAATGATGAATTTACAGTTGAAAAGAATCAATATATTACCAGCGAGCAAGAATTGAATGCAATTTATTCATTCTTCTTGGCAATCAAGGGTATTTATTTTCAATTGAATGCCAATTTACCAAAAGCATCTGAAACAATTAGTATGTGTGAAGAGTATTTGGGGAAATTGTTGACCAAATCAATGCAGTTCTACATTTATGCTGCATGTCAAATGGTGGCAGTTTATTATAGTGGAGCAGGGGATCTTTCAAAAGTGAGATTCTATGACACGATGGTGAATTATTATTTGAATGGAAATGAGAAAACAGTTTTTGACAAGTATGAGGAGAATATGAGGAAGAGAATGACATGCCTTTCAAAATCATCAACTGATTTCTTGGATGAATACTCTGGATTCTTTAAAAAGATGCCAACCTTTTTCGAACATTCAGTTGCCCGTAAGCTTCAGGATTTGTTACTTCCTGGAACTCTTGAATATTTACAGGTAGCTCCAAAAACATTAGAAGGTTATGCATTCTTCAAAAAGGTCACAGAATTTACATACAGAGTTATGGGGCAATATCATAACGATATTATTAAGGAAATGAAGGATTGCCATACGAACGATTTTTTCAAATTCGAACAAGTGCACAAAACTATTATGTATTTTGGATTTCACCTGTACTATCTGAATGCAATACCCTATATAACACCTCAACTTGAAGAAGTAGCTCTCAAAATAACAGTTTCCACTGAAAGTGAATATTTCAAGTAAGTTTAGTTGATTTGCAAATAATTTAACTCTCAAAAGCTACGCCATTCCAGAGGTGCTTATTTCAGTGAAAGGTGCAGCTCAAGTTCATTTAGACATTTGTAAAGAAATAGAGTCTGGAAAGAGACAAAACAATTCTACACTTCAAACAGATGGAAAAATACTAACTTTGGATTATTATTCGGTGCTGGAAAAGGATGTCAATGCTCTTACATCGTTACAGAAAAAGTACCCAAACAGAGTGGCTGATCTGTGTGAAGATTTACTGGCAAACATGAGAAATTTATTAAGAGCTCACAATGAAAGACTGATAAGATTTTCCACACAGTTCATTGAAGAAAATGATTTGGAACCAATTGCCAATAATGAACATTGTAACAGTGATTGTTATAGTGATCAATCCAATGATTTGACACGTTCAGATGAGACGGTTAATTGTACTGAAGGACCAGCAAAGTGGAATTCTCTCATTCACTATTTGGAAGCTATTGATGGAGAATTAGGCAATGTATCAGGCAATAACAGTACCACCGAAAATACAGATTTCATACCATCAAATGATAATGAGCTAGACCTTGATCAGTTCATAATTTAAATTTCTGAAGAACTTTATACTTCCTTAGCGGACGTAAAAACAACAATTTAGCAAAGATATGTGTGGAATGAATTACCCTTATAACCTCCTTAGTACTGTAGAGTTCTGCAACATTTAATAAAAAATTTCCACTTTCGCTTGGAAACCGGTTATTGATTTCATTTAAGCTATTCACACGTATAATAATAATCAAACCACAATCGAATTAAATAGCCACAGTTCCCGCCACAAATCCAAAAAAAAATGACAGAACCAGCAGCCAAGAAGATGAAGATCACACCACAACAAGAACATTCCATCAACTCCATTCCAGATGATGTGTTTAGTCACAAGATTTTCCCATTCCTCTCCGGAAATGATTTATTTAACAATCAAAGATTGGTTTGTTCATCATGGAATAATCGGGTGCTTGCTACCAGATGTTCCATTAGAGTTTGTTTGACTGATGAAGAATCTATCCGAAAGTTTATTGCTAGTGCAGAGGGAGGTTTATTCAAGAATGTTGTTGGTCTTGTTTTGAGAGCAGAAGGTTTTGGATCAACATCATTTGAAAAGATTGTTAATCTTGATTGGCCATGTTTGACAGCATTGGATGTGTCAGATAATGATATTGGCAGTGCTGGTATTGAACAATTATCGAAGGGTAATATTAAAGGACTCACCTCATTGAAGATATTTAACAATAATATTGGTGAGGAGGGTGCTAAATTTGTATTGAGTGGTAATTTGAGTGGATTGACCACATTGAATTATCAAAGTGTGGCTAGAAAGGGACAAGATAAGTTTTTTGCCATGACTGATCACTTTTGTGGAGATACTCCTTTTACTGTACATAGTTTTGATAACAGTGATGAATTCACTGAATATATCTTTAAATATTACCTTGATTATTGGAAACACTATGGAAGTGACTCATTGGATCTTGATGATTATGAACAAGAGGATGATGAAGAACCAAATGAACCAATTTTGAGAGAAAAAGTTTATGCATTGACATTTGGCAAAATTGCTGACATGGCAGTTAATGAAGTTGGTGGAATGGTTTTCAATGAATGTGAAAGAGAGAGTATTGTTGCTACCATCTATGGACAAGAGCTTACTGCAGAACTTTTGAGTAACTCTGATGAGTCAACTCCATTTGTTATGGATATAAAATCTTCCTGTAACCATGAAACGATACAAATTATTGGAAAGTCCAAGTTTTTGAAACATGTTGCAGAATACTTGGGTGGTGAAGATGAGGACGAAGATGAGCAAAGTGATGAAAAACTATTCGAAAGGATTTCTCAAAAGATTGGAGAAAATATTGCTTCTGATGATGGTGACGAATGCCTTGTAGCAGTTTGCATTGGTGAAGTTATCAATTGTGAATTTGTCTTACTCAAGTAAGAATCTAATAAATAATAATATCATTTATTGAACTAATTACCACTGAATGACTTCTGGATTTTCTGCTTGACCTTCCAAATTGAAAAAACCACCAGTGACACCATCATCCTTAATAAGTGCCATCCTGACAATAACTTTAGCACCTTCTTGTGGAGTCTTTGTTCCCTGATAACCATTTAATTCAGTGGCACAATAGCCAGGACAAGTGGCATTTACCTTAATGTTAAATTCTGCAAATTTTTGAGAGTAGATTATGGTTAACATGTTGAGAGCAGATTTGGTAATTGTATAAGTAGTGTACAATTTTTGAGGAGAGTTTGGTAATTGGGCAACTGCTAATGATCCAAGAGTTGATGAAACATTGACAATTCTTGGATGTTTGGATTGTTCCAGTAATTCCTTGAATTCATCCATAATGATAGCAACAGCAGCAACATTGACTGAATAAATATCAAGATATGAATCTCTAAGAGATGGATCCTTCTTTGGTGATGAAGCAACAGCAGCATTATTAATCAAAATATCAATCTTTCCATATTTTTCCTTAATTGTCTTTTTCAAATCAAAAATTGATTGATCTGATGCAAGATCAAGAGGTAAATATTCATAAGAGATTCCTTCTTCCTTCAATTGTGTAAATGCTTGTTCATTTGGAGATCTAGCAGTTACAATAATATGAATTGACTCATTGTAAAACTTTTCCTTTCCCAATTGAAGAGCAACTTGCAAACCAATTCCTTTAGTACCTCCAGTGACTAATGCAATAACCATTTTTTTCAATTTTCTTTTTGTTCTTTTTGTTTTTATGAAACTAATCAAATTCTGACTTTCGTTTTATTTATACATGAAATTTGTCCTTGTTGAATAGGATAAATTGATGCGCAAGCATTTTTTGGTTGTAAACTATATTATGTGCGCTTTGATGATAAAATTGAATGGATAATCAAAACTGTAGTTGTTAGTTTTGTTTTGTTTACAAAAACTCAATTAGTTTCAGGTATTTCTAGTGAAATATTCAAGTTAAAAAACATGACAACAAAAAGTTGGCTCCTCCCAAATGGAGAATTAAACTAAATAAGCTCCACTAACTAAAACAGTTACCTAACCAAATACCCTCCCATCATTCACTTAAAAACCAACTTTTGCTTCACCTTTCCTCTGTCCACAACCAAAACTTCAACTCGACCTCAAAATCTGTCAAGAAAACATTGACTTAAGAATCCCTCAATTTTACAAAAAAAATGTCCTCAAGCACAACTTCATCCTCAGAGCAGTTATTACCACCATCAACATCATCTTTGACATCAACATCAGCAACAACAACATCATTATCCACAATCAGTTGTGAATCTTGTCGACATTCCCATAAGAAATGCGATAGACAACTTCCTTCGTGTACTAAATGTTCAAAGAAGGGAATTGAATGTAATGTAAGCTTTGAAATAATAATTAGCATATTCGAATATATATTTAATAAAAGTATTCGGAGCCTAAAAAGAGAGGAAAAGCCTCAGATGCCTATAAAAAGAATAAGAAACAAAAAACTGATTTTCCTCATCAGAATCAAATTGCACAATCATCACATGAAGATTTAATTCAACAAGTGAGTGAATTTTACTTTACATTTGTGTGTTCGGGATATCCTGTGCTTGATAAGACGAAATTGGAATATTTCACGAATGAATATTTGACCAAGTTTGAGAATGGAGAACATGTTGAATTGATTGCTAATGATTTTATTCATTCAGAGGAGGAATTACAATTGCTCTATGTTTTATTCTTGTCAATGAAGGCAATTTATTATCAATTTCATTATGAATTGGATATTGCTGAAGAAATTATGAAGAAATGTGAAAAGTTGCTGGGACAATATTTAACACAATCATTCAATTTCTATATTTATGCATCTTGTCAGTTGGTTGCTGTTTATTATAGTGGTATTGGTGATTTGTCAAGGCTTAAATTTTATGAAACTTTGGTGAATTTTTATTTAAATCATTTGACAGGAAATACTTTTGACTTGTATGAAAAGAATTTGGAAAGAAGAGCTGCTTTTGTTTCTGGTATCACTAATGATATGGCAACTGATGGTGTTTCATCATTTATTGAAAGAGTTCCAAAGATTTTCCAAGTCACAGTGGATCAAAAGCTAGACAATATTTTACTTCCTGGAACTTTGGAGTATATTCGTACAGCACCTGCCACTACTCAAAACTATGCCTTCTTCAGACAGGTGTTAGAGTTTGTGTTTAAAGTAATTGGTCAATTCAGAGCTGAATATTGTTCCAGGTTGACATTTTGCAACACAGAAACAGCATTGAAATTTGCACAAGTTAATAGACATTTGATTTATTGTGGATTTCATATGCAATATCTCACAAGAATGCCAAGTATGGCAAATGAATTGGAAGAATTGGCTCTCAAAGTTTCTTGCATTACAGAATCCGAATACTTCAGGTTAGTTTCAATAATCAATATATATATCTCACAGTTGAATCAGGTATTGCTCTGCTGAAATGATTGGTTGTGTAAAAACAGCTGCTGAAATACATTTGCGTATCTGTAAACAAATTGAGAATGGAAGCAGAAGAAATAATGCACCTCTCATAACAACAACAGGAAAATCATTGAATATTGATTATTACGCGATATTGGAAAAGGATTTGAATGCACTTACATGTATGGAAAAGAAATTCAAACGAGTTAGTATGGTGTGTGGAACTTTAATTCAGGAAATTAGAATTACATTACAAAATCATTACAATATGCAAGTCAATACTTTAAATCTTGCCACTGCACAAGCTCTTCGATTACCTACCATCATTGCCCAACAACAGCAACATCAACAACATCAGCAGCAACACACCTCTCCACAAAGTTCGCACGAGGGTGATGATAAATGGATGTCCCTTATTAAATATTTGGAAGCAATTAAGGAGAGAATTGGAAATCAACCTTCTGAAGAACCAGAAGAGACCGATGATGATGCCTTCTTAGATTTTGATTCACTTACCAATTAGAGAATTCAATATTAAATTATATTTATTTCTTAAGAACTTGTAAAAGAGATTCGAATACTTTTTCATCAAGAACAATTCCAATGTGAGAAGTGTTGAAAAACCTATGTTGATACACGGCATGTTTTTGATATTTTGCAAACTCATCACAAATTTGGAGAGAATAGGCAGGAACTGTTCCATCCCCATCTTCAATATTTAACACTTTCATTCCTTTCCACAAGTCATCAAAGTCCAAATCATGCAACTCCTTAGAACCCGAATATTCCATATGAGTAATAGTATGAACACCATAACCATAAAAGCAGTGAGTGGTTACATTTGGAGCGGCAATCTTGTTATTGGAATAGGCAGAAAATTCATGATTGTAAATGTTAATGCCATTTGCAATTTGGGCATCTGAAAAGTATCTTTCAATATCTGGAAGATTAATTCTATAACTTGGTCCAGACACATTATTTCTATTATAGGTAAAGAATGGGTAATTGTAAGGGAAATAATTTGGTGACATGAACAATGGAGAAGCATATTGGCGAACAATTTTTCTAGCATTAGAGAGCTCAAAGGTTGGAATTCCCCAATTTGTACCAGTTACATATAAAATCTGAATTGAATGTGAAAATTATTGTAAAGAATATTGTAACAAATCAATTGAAAAACTTACCAAAGCAAGTGGAGAACCATCAAAAGCACCTGCCATTGGAATGAAATTATCAATGAATTTCTCCTTCCATGGTTGATCCACAAAAGTAGCCAAAAAGTATTGCAAGAATGGACCACCCATCGAATGTCCCAAAAGTGAAACTTTCTTATTTCCATTAATCTTGTAAGTGTCTTCAACTAATTCTTTCAAATTAAAGAAATCACCGCCAATAGAATTGTTTCTACTGGCCCATTCTCTCACACCCAATCTCCAATCCATTGTTAACCCTCTCAAACTCTTTCCAATTTGATAATTTCCATTCTGTACCAAATAATCAGATAAACTCTTCATGTAATAAGCCTTACTTTCGAATTGTGCTAAAACTGATTCTAAACCACCCATTCCACCAATATCCTTTCCAAAAATCTTTACACCTTGATCTTTTTGTCTCAATAAACCATCTTTCAATTCAATAGACATGTCATGAACGAAACAATCTTCAGTAAAGTATGGAACTAGCTCTTCCAAAGAAATCCAAATTTGGAATGGATCAGTTGACTTTTCACACCACCAATGAGGCTCCTTCACAGCATTATTTCTCTGAGACATGAGTGCTGAACCACCCAATCCTCCCACAATAATCAATGGTGAGAAATTTCCATTCACATCTGCACCTTTCATCTTGCCTGAAATTCTTGATGACTTTACAGCTGACTTTTGAGCAATGAATTTCTCATCTTGATACATGGAAAACAATTGACCAATCTCTACATTATCTCTCTTAACCAATTTTCGAAGATTTTCTTCCTTGATCGGAATGGAAAATCTTCCCATCATTTTGTTATTCATTGCTTGATGACTTTTGACCATCATTACCATGAACATGATGCAAATGGACAATACACAACAATAACCAATCCTCACACCTTGCATGTTGCTAATTTTCCTGTTATTAGTATTGTGTGTAGTGAACAACGGAGTGTCACGATTTACTTCTATTTTTTTCTTGGATGATAATTGGAAGGAAGGACAGCAAATTGTTGGTTGATTTGAAAGTGGAAACCCGATGGAAGGACGATTGATCCATCCGGATAATGAGGAGTCTGTTTTAGTGAAACTCCCAACTGAAATCAATGACCATTCTTGGAAGATGATTAAGCATGATGATTTTGTTAAACATTTTAAGATTTTGTTTATTATTCGTTCTTTTGCTTTGATTTTGAATAGCAGCAAATGAGTTTTGACATTTTGATAGTGAAATAAATGATAATACCATAGAATAGAATGATATCCAGACAATAGAATTGCCACCATGTCAAGTGCTTATCTGCAACTCCCCATGATAAATCACCATCCACTTCAGAGACTAATTCCACAATCTCAGCAGCTCTGCTCACTCCTCCAGATCTTCTTGTCAGTGCCTTAGCATGTCTAGCGGCTGTTTTGTACTTGTCACTTGTCTGTTCATCATATAAAAGCTCATGAACTGCCTTTGAGATGCTATTGATATTCCAATCTGAGGATTCCTTCTTTGAATGGTAAATGGAACGACCCACTTTGAATTCCTCAATGGCATGTGAAACTCTCATTTGATCATAGGCAAATGGGAATCCAATTAGTAATTTTCCAAAATAGAGAGCTTCATTGACACTATTAGCTCCGCAATGTGTGAAGAAAATCTTGACCTTTTCCAAAGATAGTAATCCCTTTTGAGGAACGAATCCTTTCAATATTTTGAATCTCTTTGAATTAGTTTTGAACAAATCATGGAATGAAAGTCTTTCAAATATTTCCATATTGAGATTTCCAAGTGCCATCAAGATTGAAATTCTTGGATTTTCATTTAAGGTAATTTGAAGTCCTTCCAATAACTTTTTCATTCCATTTTCATCCAAAACCATTGTAGATCCGAGAACCATTAACATGATATCTTCCTGCTCATCAATCCAATTGAAAAGATCTCCCATTCCAGAACTCGAATCATTGGAATGAGCTAATTTTCTTAGAGTTTCAATTTCATCATTAATTTGTTTCTCATTCATGAATGGACCCACAAGATGAGCATTGAAATATTGAGTATTTCCAGAGGCAAATTCAAATCCATAACTGGAAGTTTGAATTAGGGCACATTGGCTATCACTTGCAATGATTTCATTCATCTCAAAATATTCACCCAAATTTTCCATGAATGCTTTGGCATAGAATACATCCTGAATGGCAACGAATGGCATATAGAAACGATTAGGATATTTAGTGAAATAATCCAATGAATTGGCAATGATTCCAGGATAGTGCAACATGAATTGTCTGAAAAAGGCAGTGAAAATTTTCGTACATGGAATTTTGCTTCCTGCAATGATGGATTGAATGGAAATTAAGGTAAAATCAATAACTGCTTGGTCAAATAAGGTCTGTGAAGGATCATTTCTAATTCTCAAATATCTCTTAATTCCAGGTTTTGCAATTTTTGATAATTTTTGTAAACGTTCCTCAAATGAAATGACATTTTCAATTTCTCCGCTTTCCTTCCAAACTTCCACAATTTCCAATTTTGAAATCATTAATCGTTCATAGGGAATCATCATTCTATCAAATGTAAACTTGAATTGATCCAAAATATCCATATCAATCATTTTACTCATTTCTCTATGAAATTCTTCAAAATCCTCAACTTGAGTAAAGAAAACATCCTTAGATTCCATTAAAGAAACATGAATCTTTCTCTCTGACTCCGAAATATTCAGTTTTGAATGCCATTTCTTCATTCTTGAATCTGATAACAATCCCATTTTGGAATTCAATATTGTAATGTTTGAAATTGTCAATGATTGAGAAAGTTTTTCAACTAATTCAACCTTTGGTCGGATGTGACCGGGAAATGGATGAGATAGAATCAATATATTCTTATTATTCATCATTATTTCTATCAAATATTTATTAATATTTAATAAATATTAAATTAATACTATTTACCATTCTTGCAATTTATATGTGAAATTAAAGCTAATAGCAAAAGGAATGTAATAAGCATTCCGATTGCTTTCGTAGGTAAATTATAGGTCCTCATGTAATGCTATTTTTTTGAAAATTTCTTTTTGATTGAAAACGAGAACCAACAATAACTATTCAATACCATGTCGTTCAATTACTAGAAATGGAATAATTGAGAAATGTGAGATTAATCCACCATTTGAATTTAGGTTTCATGTCCATTAAGAAATGAGAAGGATGTGGACTATATATCTGGTTTCTTAGTAATAACCAAGATATGCATTGGGATGTGAACTATTGACTGATTTCTGCATATGTGTCTACACATTTCTACACATGCATCAGTTGATCATGATTTTTTTTTTGAATACATTCTTCAAATTACAACAGGTAGCATCCATGCACATGTGCAGATGTTTCTTCACTCCACTTGAAACATGTTGTTTTGAATGTTGAAAAGCAATGCAGCAACAACGTACTACTGATTGAAAACAACACTCACCGTATGAATAACCTCCAATGATACATATGAAAATTGATACAACAACCGTAATAATCAAATACTGTTCCTTATGGACATTACTGTCGATCAAAACAACACCTTATTCAAATCCAATTAAATATTGAAAGCTATTCTTATTCAAAAGCAAATGAATGATCAAGACAACACACTTCAATAAATTGGCACTTTATAAATGGTTGACCTTAATTGTGAGATACTGCTTTCCTTTCTGAGTAAACGAGTGCAAAACTCTTTAAAAAACACATGTGTTTATTTGTTCTTTCAGAGCGTGAGAAAATAGCATGTTTGTAACATGAGATGTGGAATGACATCATGTGAATGTGTAGACATTACTGGTTGTGTTTAATTTAACTTTCACATGATGTCATTCCAAAACACATTCCAAATGCCTCTGGATTCAGAAACATAGCTAAATAAAATGTTCACTAATTGATTTCATAAAGCACGTTTATTAATAAACGTGATGTCAAAGGAATAAATTAAAAGTTTTTGTTTTGAGTAAAAGTTCTAACCATTTCCAACACATTCTTTCCTTGATTCATTGGAGACATATGTCCGGCTTTGTTGACCAAAATAGTTACCAAATTATCATATTGATGAGAGTAACCAACAATTTGACCGTCAACCTTCCATGGCTTTCTACCAAGACCCAAATCTTGATTGAAAGAACTAGCTCCATGCCAGTTCATTGATTGAATCCAATTGGTAGCTCCAACGGAATTAACTATCCAATCGTACTGACCATTATATAACAATACACGCACCTTTCTTTCTGGGCTATCAAGTAAAGCTTCAACCTTATATTTGACAGACTTGGCAATATCAGCCAAGAGATTATTCCAAACATCATTGTTTTCATCGTAATATTTGACACCTTCTGTGTGCATGAGCTTTTTGGTTTCTGGCAAGTTTACATATTGGACGTAGGCAGAAATGTCTGGATCTCCATAACTTCTAATATCGTAAACATTGACACCACCAGCACATTGATTAATTACAAAGTCTGTGAGATTATTGTTAACATTCATAACATCGACAAATCTCTTTTCCTTGATAAGTTTAACAATTTGATCTTGATAATTCTTAACAACTGCTCTTTGAGGTCCATCAATCAAACCAGTGGCAAAAGAATAAGTATCATAACTGGCAAATTGAATTTCTGGATCAGTTAAACCATCCTAAAATTGATTTAGTTTACAAATTTGAAATAATAAAAACCTACACCAATACCAATACCGGCCAAATTGAATGGGAAACCAGAATTCATAATACTATTTTATGAATCAATGTAAATTCCAAATTCCAATATTTATAAACTTACTTGTAAGCAATAGATGGAACTATTTCAATGTGAATAATTTAAATTTCATAAAATACTTACTATATTTTCCAGCATAACTTTCACCAAACAAGTACAATTCATTACCTCTATATTTTCTAGCAAAGTCCAATTGGAAGAATTTTTCCAAAAAGATATGCACCTCACTAGCAACTCTATCTTCACTGTGAACATAACCTGGAGATTGAACATGTGAGAAACCGCTTCCCAATGGATTATCAAGCCAAATCTTTTGACAGTTTGGTGAATTAGCTCAAAAATATTGAAATGACATACCATGTGATAATCATAATTCCAAGTTGTTGGATTCTTGACAAGTTTCAAAGTTTTTGGATCTACAAGATATGGTCCATTTTCAACAAACAATCCAAATTCACTTCCGGCACCAGGTCCTCCTTGGAACCAAATAATAACTTTGGTCAATCAGCAAAATTTCATCATACACATTTTGAATAATTAATTATTAAATGATCAATCACTTGTGAAAATCTAAACATACTTGGACTATCAGCCTTTCCACTCAAAGCTTCACTAAAAACATAATACATTTGTCCCTTGTATGTCGAATTTACTTCAATAAAACCACTAAATTCAAATGGATTATTATCCATATCAACCTTGACATAATCTTCAGGCGAAATCTTCATTGGAAGAGGTGCTGGAGCAAGTCTCCTCCTTCCAGCTATCTTCTTTCCTCTCAACAAATCCACAAATAAATTAGATGTTGGAGGAGCCTTTCCTTCCGAGCCTTCCAACATCATCATGAACATTAGCGCAGAAAAGCACAACAATAAAACGATCAAGTAATTGGCGCGCATTTTTTTTTGTGTTTTTTTTAATTTTCAAATTTTTATTCGTTTAAACTCCTGAATGGATTTAATGAGGAGGAGTTTTGTGGGGAATTTTTGGAGTTATTTTGATGAGAAGGTGGCAGGTTTTTAAACTCCTGTGTTGGGACAGAGATGGATGAAATATTGATTTTGCTTGAATTGATTTTTATCAAAACACTTTACAATCAATGAAAATAGTTAAAGAAATAGAATCTCAATATCCAAACACATTAATAACACAATTTTTCAACTAAAAACAATGGAGTCCATGCTGTTCGGTACCCATTCTTCCCTCAGAGTGAGTACTTTCAGTCTCCTTCCATAGTAAATTATATGTTCGTACATATTGGAGGAGATTTTAAATACTCTCATTCCAAATGAGTATGAACAATAAAAGAGTCGTTGTTATTAAATCTCAAAAAAGAAAATGCAACAAACTACATCAACTCTAATTACTGAATTAGCATCCAACTCCGAAAATGATGAAAATTTAAATTCTTTGAATGAAAAACAAAATGATAGAGTTGAAAATTTATCGAATTTATCACCAATTTCGTGTATTTGCTGTAGAAAGGCACATAAAAAGTGTGATAGACAACTGCCAACTTGTTCAAAATGTATTCAGAGAGGAATTGCATGTGCTGTACGTTTACAACACTTTAAACACTTTAAAATATTTAAATGTTTAATATGAATTGAATATCTGAATAGTATAATGAACCTAAAAAGAGAGGAAAGGCAGCAGAGGCTTACCAACAGCGAAAAAAGAGAAAGGAACAAGATTTAGATGAGCTAGCTGCCAATGTCATTCATTATTTCTATACTTTCATAAGTGGAGGACATCCTGTCATTAGAAAACCCAAATTTGAATATTTTGTGAATCATTACTTGGCCCAATTGGAAAATAACAATGAATTTGTATTAATTCCCAATGATTACATATCGAATATTGAAGAATTACAATGTATCTATTTATTTTACTTATCCATCAAGTCAATTTATTATCAATTGAATACAGAATTGGAATTGGCAAGTGACAGTATGAAAAATTGTGAGGAACTTTATTCAAAATTGGTTACAAAATCATTCATGAACTTTTATTTCAATGCTGCTTGTCAATTTATTTCATTATATTATAGTGGAATTGGAGATTTTGTAAAAGTGAGATTTTACATTGCCATTGTAAAGTTTTATTTGAGTGAGAGGAAGGAATTTACTGATTTATATGAAAAGAATTTGGAGAGAAAGATTGTTTTTCAAAACAAGTCATCAAATGATCTCATTGATGGATTTTCTGCATTTATAGAAAATATGCCAAAAATATTTGAAGTGACAGTTGGTCAAAATTTGGAAAATTTACTCATTCCTGGGGCTTTGGAGTATTTGAGAACGGCTTCAGTCACAACAGAGAATTACTGCTTTTTCAAACAGGTTGTGGATTTTGTTTTTAAAGTAGTTGGACAGTACAGAGTGGATTTATTCAAACAAATGATTGATTGTCATTCTGAAACATTCTTCAAATTTGAAAAACTGCACAGAAATTTAATTTATTATGGATTCCAGTTGTTTTTCCTGAGTCGATTACCTGCATTTTCACCTCAACTGGAAGAGGTTGCTCTGAAATTATCATGCTTGACAGAACATGAATATTTCAAGTATGTTTCAACAATCATTTAATTAACCAAATGATTAACGTTTATATCGTGACAGGTATTCTGTTCCTGAGGTGATACCATGTGTGAGTGAGTGTGCAAAAATTCATTTACAAGTCATTCGACAAATTGAATCAAGAAAACGAGCAAATAATATGCCATTCATAACTTCAAATGGAAAGGTTCTGACCATTGATTATTATTCGATACTGGAACGAGATTATAATGCTCTCAAATCACTAGAGAAACGATATCCCCGAGTGAGGAATTCTTTTGGATCTTTGATCAATGAAATTCAAACAATTTTGAATAATCATGATAACCAAGGTGAGATGGCTCCGATCGAACCAAATCCCATTCTTTTCAATAAGCAAACCATTGATGATTCTTCGGATTTTGTTTCATCACCCAATTCCAACATATTGGCTGAAGATTTGAGATGGAAATCTTTATTGAAATATTTAGAAGCCATCAGGGAAAGATTGGGTGATGACAGTGGAAGTAGCAGTGGAGATTCTAGTTTTGATTTTGATCAATTTTTTGATTAGCATGTTCCGTTATCATTGTGATCCTGAACATGTTCATGTAATCATCATGTTTTCGATCAAGATATTCAAAAGAAGGAATATAAATTTGTTTATTATGTATATTATTTTAATGTTATTTTGTATATTATGTATATTATTGTTTGTTGAATTGTATATTATGTATATTGTTGTTTTGTTAATATTATGTACATTAGTTGATTAAGGTTTTAGGAATTTGTAAATTTAAAGATAATTTAAGAAGAGGAAAACTCATTCCATCCACTTCCATATATGCAAGGAAGATTCTCCTGGATACTTCATTCTCTTTCTACTCTTCTTCTCTTTAAATCTACTCTTGTTGATCAATTCAATCTTTTTGCTATCTTCTGAAGTAACAAGGACTGATTTTCTTTGTTTGAATACATGTTCTGGTTTTACAATCTTGTTAATATTATATACATTAGTTGATTGAGTTTTTAACTGAATCCTAATATTTGATGCAGCATCCACTGACTTTGGAGAGCTCAATTCTTCACCTGATTGATTAGATGCAGATTCATAGGAAGCATCCGTATTAAACGGACTAGTAGTACTCCTGGTTGATAATGTAGATGTAACACTGCTGGATGTTGATGTTGGACTACAACTTCCCTTAATGTTACATTCATTGAACAAATCTGTCCAAGATGTTAACATGTCATTAACATCCAATCTTAACATTGGTTGTTGTTGGCTTTCAATGTCAACAGATGGTTCAATGTTCAGCATGGAATCATCATGTTCCTTCTCTTCTGGGAGGATAACGGATTGGAATGGATAATAAGAGTTGAGGAATTGTTGTTGAATGGATGAGTAATCAATAGATGCATCTACAGGAATAACGGATGGTGAAGTTACATTCATCATGGCATGAACATTCATATCACTTAATGAATTTACATGATTAAGGGAATTCATTAAGGTGGTGGAGTAGGCCGTTGGTGATTGTGGACTAACGGCTGAGCTTGATGTGCAAGTGGTCGTCAAGCCGTGATGAAGATAATTAAATGTACCTGCTGATGCTGCTATTGGGAGAGTAAGAGGTGTAGTAGTAGGGGAGGTTGGAGGAGTTGGAAGGAAACATGATGATTGTGCTGCTACTGCCATTTGGTTTAATAGTAGGGCAAAAGAATCATGAGGAAGCACATAAATAATAGGATTCATTCAGTTAGGGGAGGTTTCTAGTTAATTTTTTTAACAAATTTTTCTCTGTGCGAGATAACTGATTACAGTAAGCGTCATCCAAATATGTAAAACGATTAAGGTAGATTTGGTCCCCACCCAAAGATTGAGTAAGATCGCATTCAAATGTACGTACGTTTAACGAGATGGTCACTTGATACAAATATCGGTTGGATAGTATTGATTGTATTAAATTTGTCTGTTATTATTATTATTATTGAAGAACGTTTGTGTTAAATCAAGTGTGAAAAGATTAGTGAAAGGAATAAATTCACACACGCAGCTTAATGTTGTTTTTTTTGAATCTGGGACGGAGATCTTCTCTATCAAATTGGAACAATTTTCAATGTGTGTCACACCTTACCAAGCAGGTAGCAAGTTGAAGTGTTCAGGAGCATATTTAGTCAATTGTTTAATTCCGTAAGATACTCCTCAACTAACAGATAACCACCACTGAGAGATACGCTAAATATCCAATTGCAACCTTAAAGAGCTCTTTCAGGAAAAGTATCTCGATGATGCATATTTTCGCCACTATTCAAGTTTGGAAACATTGTTTCTTGGTATAATGCTCAAATCCTTGCTATCTCTCGCCCTTAATAGTATGTTAAAAAAAAATCTTCTGGAATATCTTTACGTTGCGTGTGAAAAATTCAAAATGTTTGGAGTGCATGGTGTGATTACAATATCAACAACAGGATATGGGATGGGAGTATGCATGAATATGGGTCGTGGATTGTCGATAAGGGTAGGACCATTGCCATCCTCTAATTGGTGTGAGCTGAGTTTGTAATGTAATTGTATCAGTTTGTTACAAACGTATATTGCATCGTAATATATCAATGGAGTGGCAGTTAATGTTTCAGTTACATGAATTGTATACACAACAATTGAGTGTACGTTCCGTTTCAACTTGCTTCTCTTTTATATTTTAAAATTAACCTTATCAGTTTAGCGTGATGATCAATAATAGTAACACACCTCATCTTGTTGTTGAACTTTCAGGAGAGAATTGCTGTATGATTGTATGAGTTTAGTTCTTATAATTACCTTAAAGGTGAACCCTCAATAGTGTTGTCATTCAAGGAAATGGTCAGTACTGCAAAAATTAGAGATATAGTTAACCTATGAGGATTTATACAACAATGATGTACTCTCAAAAGTTGGTTTATACAATAACTGAATGAAATCTGATCTTCCAATGCAAACAATTCATGCCTACTCGAACGAGTGTTATGAGTTATAGGTTTGCACTGAGTAGAAGATGCCATTGAGCAGCGAAGTGTTAAATGTCCTAAAATCTAGTTATATATGGTGTGAAAAATCTAAGGAATTGTGTTTAATTCCAGTCTTCTTGATCTTCATAGATTGTTTCTGGTTCGTCATCTTCAAAGGTTGGGATTGGTGAGGTTGGTGTTGATTCGTCTGGTAAATGAATGACCTTGAATAGAATCTTTGGTGTTTCACTAATTTCTATAAATGAATGTCTTGCTAGCTTACCAATCTTGGTAATGATAAAGCTTCTCAACTTTTTCGATTTGATTGATAATTTTGATTTAAGCTCCTTGATAGAATAAACTAGGAAATGCTTCAAGTGATCCATTTGCTCCTGTAAGATTATGCTAAAATAGCTCATATCCCAAATTTTGATTGATTGTAATTGTGTCATACCAGTTAAATCAACTTCAGCTCCTTCAATGTTACATCTATTCATTTCCAATATTTTGAGATTGGGTATTTGTACAAACTTGAATTTGTGTGGACCTTTCAAATATAAATATTGCAGTGATGTGAAAGAGTGTAAACTCAATGCTCTCTGATTGTAGACGAGAGAGTTAATATTGGAGACAAGGTTGAATTTCTTGGAGAAAATATCGTGAAGTAAATCCTCAGTGACTGGAGTAAGTTGTGTATCAATATTGTAAACGTAATCTTCATGAACCACAATCTTCAAGTTCTTCAGGTTGGAGAATTGAGAGAGGAATGCACAAAACTTTCCAGAAATTCTCGCCAAGTCATCTTGTTCGTGTTGTTGTAAAAATAGAGATGGAACTGACACTGATGAAAGTGAAAGTTTAGCTGTCTCGTCAAGATGAATGTTATGGCAAAATTCAAACTTTTCCACTCTAGACGCAATCAATTCAAGGTTTGAAATATTTCCTGAAATGTGTATGTGAGTCTTGGAAGATTTTGAATAGTCAATATCTAAATCGTTGCATTTACCAACATCCACATACACAGAAGTTTCTTGGTTAAGGGATTCGTTGAAATTCAGTCCAATTCTCTTTACATTTCTTCCTTTGATGGTGGCTTTACTACCAATATTATAAACAGTTAATTGAATTGGACAATCTTCAATATAGAGTTCAGCGTCGGATCTAATATTGAGAGCTTTCATTCGATTCAATTTCTTTTTGAGAATCAACTCGGGTACTTGTTTTTCCTTTTGTTTCTTTGTCTGCACCTCTGATGGTAGCGAGCTAAATAGTACTGTCTTTAATTTTTCGTGCTTATTCATCCAAAAGTTGAATAGAGTCTTTTGATCCGTTAAAGAATTCCCAAAAGTATCATAATAAAAGCATTCCAAATTTGGGAATGGTTTTTGGTTTTCTGTTATCACACAAGAAATTTGTAAATCCAACTTCTTGAGTTTAGGTAGTAAAATACCATTGAAACAAACAGAAAAGGTTACCTCTTCAAAAAAACCTCCAACATTAATATTATCCATCACCGTCAAATCTGAAACAGAATGAGGCACTACAAAAATCTTATAATCACCTGTATACCTTTTGGCGTTTGGATTATTTTCTAACTGAACCGAACAACAAGTTTGCAAGCATAACCGTTTGAGAACTGTTAAATTTGGTGCCAATTTGTTCCAATTCTCCAATGATTTGTGTTGGGTATTATCAATACCAATATTTTTGAGTTTTGGTGCTATACATAAAAGCGACTCGTATAATTCGTCCGTAATAGATAAGCATTCCGAACATAATTCAACAGTTTCTAATTTCGATAAATTTTTACAACTCTCAACAAAATTCTTAATAAATGATTCCCTTGGAACTTTTGCCTCTTTTGGCATGTCCAAAGCTATCTTTCTCAAATTACTTCCAACTGGAGTGTGAATAATAGAGTGTGGATCCACAAATCCATCGAAAATATCCAAACTATCTAAATGGGAGAAGGATATCTTGGATTTTTCAATAAATGTCTCCATTCTCAATTTTACATCAACCGGATACATTAATAGGTAAGACAACATGGTAGTATTTTCGGACCATAATTTCATAATTTCATCAGGTGAATCATCCACAGGTATTGGTATTTCTAATTTTCTAATCAATGACAAGTCGCAAAACGACTGCAACCACATGATGTATTCTTTTGTAATTTCCTTCAACAACGAATAATAATAATTTCCATTTTCCTGATCCACAGAACAATTAGAAAATTCCTTTTCGCAATCAAAAACCAAAGGAAAATCTTCCACAAAATAGGTTGATACAAAAACTGTAAATCTAGCAAAGACCGAACTCCAAAAAAACGAATTATTTCTCATCCTCTCTCTCAATGCTCTATTTGTATGAGAAATAGCCAACAAGTCATTAAACCCAGTCACTTTCCTTGTCTCGGCACTCGGTAATAAATAATAGAAAATATGGTCAAATATTTCATAAGGTAAATCCTCTATGCTAAATTGTGTCATTTTTTTCAATGTTTTTCATGATTTTTGCAAACCTTTATTTTCTAAATTTCCATCCTTGTGTGATGTTGGTTGTTAAATTTCTTTCCTCAATAATATAACACAACATGTCTAGATGAATTGATGATCGGGTAGTAAATAGATATACCCAGAGAATGCATTCCGAGACAAGCTTGAATGTTCTTATTTTACAGTAAATAATTTCTTAGTATTCAGATACTAACGATCATACAACATGAACTGTCCGCATTGTTGTAGCTGCCTTAAGTTCGGTTTACGAATCATGCTAAGGTAATAGAATAATCAATGCACTTAATTGAGAGTCGTTGAAAAGGAATATTGAGTTTCATGTGTTCTAATATCGAGAGCTTTGTGATCCAAGAAATAAAAAATTGGTACCTACTCTCCCCTAGGCTTTGAAATAATTCCATCATCAATTTGTTTTTAATATATTAAAATTGAACACAAGGATATTGGAAATTTCATCTAGGAGAATCCTACTAGATAATCATTTAAAAGAGAGTGTAACAATATTAAATTTTGAAACTCTACATCATCTATTCAATTTGTAAATAATACTTTTGGATGAGAAGGAATCAAGAAGACTCGGATGTTGAATTGAGTGTTAGATCAGAGGTCTCCTCTGTAACTAGTCTAGGAACAGCAATGATTGCTGAAGAACAAGAGGAAAGTAGGAAGGAATGTAAACGAAAGTCTATCTTTTTATGCATATTCACAGCCTTCTTCCTAATGCTAGTCATTCCACAGTTGAGTTTATTCATTTACTTTTACTTGACCGTTGATAGTGATCCATCATTGGCCAATGATCCGAATGCTCTAGTTTTTCGACATTCTAATTGTTGTACAATAGAAAATAGTTTTGTAGATTGTTTTACAAGTCTGAAGGATACATTCTGTTCCTTCAATATTACATTCCCTGTGCAAGGGTTTGATGAGGATAGTGACCCAGATGCAATTAATGATTGTGTAATTGCTCCTAACACAACTTTTAGAACACGAACTGATAGTATTACATACAAGATGAATGTTGGTTCCGAAGATTACATCAAGTATGCAACTAATATGCAAAACAGAACCAAAATTGAAAACATTTCATGTTACACAGATAGGACAGAGTCTTATGTGAGTGTAAATTCCATATCTAGGCTATATAATTCATACTATTTTGCAATGATTGCCATGGGTATTCTAATGTCTGGTTTTTGTTTGGCTATTATAATTGGATGGATGGTCATTCCCTTCATCAATTTGAAAAGAGATGGTCCTAGGAGAAGGAAGAGAAATAGACAAGCAGCTGCTAATATCATCAATACTGCTAACAGATGATATGAATAATTATTGTCGAGTATTATCATGGAAGATTAGAGAGAAATATCCTCAGCGGAGGTTTGCTTTGATTATCTGCGATCAATAAGATTGTTTATCTTTCTTGTGGTTGAACAACTGTTGTGTTTGCAAAGAAGAAAAAACATCATCATGAGCACACTTAGAGCACTATTATTAGGAGTCTATGGTTATTGGAATTATACAAAAGCTGGATTCGAGAGAAGACTCGGAAGCACCATATCAGATGAATCTGTAAAGAATGTTGGAACAATGACAAACAAAGTATGCATTGTTACTGGAGCAAATTCTGGTTTAGGTTAGTATTGTTGTTAACTGTTATTATTAACAAGTTGTATGATTAGGTTATCAGACATCTATTGATTTGGCCAAAAGAGGTTGTACATTGCATTTACTTTGTAGAAATGAAGAAAGAGGAAAGGAGGCAGTTCAAAATATCATCAAGGAATCGAATAATGAACAAGTTTATTTACACATTGTGGATATGTCCTCTGTGAAGAGCATTAAACAATTCTTGGATAGTCAAATTGGCAATACAATTCCTAAACTCAATATTCTAGTTAATAATGCTGGAGCTATTGTGGAAAGGATTGATCCAGTGACTAAAACTGCTCAAGTTACCTTGAATGAGAATGGATATGAAAACAATTTCCTTGTAAATACTATTGGACCATATTACTTGACTAGAGAATTAATTAATTTCATGGAAGAGTCTGCCAAGAAAGACAAGGATGCAAGTAGAGTTATTTTTGTATCATCTGGTGGAATGCTTACTTCTAGATTGGATTTGAATAATTTACAAAATCAAGGATTTACTGGAGCTTCTGCTTATGCACATTGCAAACGTCAATCATGTTGCATTACAGAAGAATGGGCCAAATTACATGACAAATCTCTAATAACATTCAATTCATGCCACCCTGGTTGGGTCGATACTCCAGGTTTATCAATATCTCTTCCAACTTTCTATGAGAAATTGAAAGGAAATTTGAGAACATTGGAGCAAGGAGCTGATTGTCAACTCTATTTGGCTGTCAGTGATGAAGTGAAGGAATCTACAGGTCTCTTTTTCGAAGATCGTAAACCTGTCACTCCTCATTTCACTCTCGCCTTTACTCAAGAATCAGAACAAGAACGTAAAGAACTCATCAAGAAGTGTGACTCCATTATCCAAGACTTGATGCTCAAATAAACTTGTACACAAAAGATCTTTTATCAGTTCATTATCTCAATATCTTATCTGCATGCGGCAGCACGAACCACCCTCCACGGAGTTGGGATAAACTGAGGAGGATGGAATAATGCAGTATCGAAAAACAGTTCTGCTCCACTACCTATTCAATATTTCAAAAAGGGTATTGCACCATTCTCTCCACCATGATTCTTCATCATTAAAAAAAAAAGCAAAGACCTGTCATCATCACCTTGCTCTCTTTAAAAACAGATCCAATGCCAACCTGGAAAGAAAAAGCCAAAATATATTGGAGGTGAGTGTGTTTATAATATCTTTAAATATTTATTGGATTTTTATTCTAAACATACGATGTGAATGTTGTGAAATGATAAAAGACATCCCGATATTCACGTCTACTGGAGAGCCATCCTTGCCGAATTGCTTGGAACCGCAATTGTAAGTTATCAACTCGTTGAATTTTAATGGGAGAGAAAATTGATGAAAATCATGCAACTACAACCATGATGGGGTTGTGAATTAAATGATGCCCTTCTTGTAATCTTCAAAAAATTGCATTTTCATTGCACTGCTACCAATGACTTATAGTTTGTCTTTCTGGGTACTTCGAGTGCTGTGTTTGCCAATAAGAATGAACCAGTAACTGTGGCATTGGGACATATTTTCGGATTGTTGGTGTGTATTCACATTTTCGGTCCAATTTCTGGAGCTCACTTTAATTGTGCAGGTTAGTAGTTGTGGGATTTATGGATTTATTGATTTGGTTTTTGTTTAATGTTTGATGTGTAATTATTGTGTGAAATAATGAATAATGGATATTTATGGAAATTAATAGTTACTTTTGGAGCCCTTATTACAAGAAATATTGGTCTTGTATCTGGTATTGTGTATATGATTGCTCAAATTGTTGGAAGTATTGTTGGAGCTGCATTGACCACCTTAATTGGTAAAACTGTTGTTCCAGGAATTTTCAAACCACCAGAAGATATTGATGATGCCTGGAGAGGATTTGCATTGGAAATTATCTTGACATTTGTTTTGGTTTTGGCTATATTTGGTGCTGCTGTCAAACCTCAACATTTCAAGAAATCTAATGGACTTCACTCAATTACTGGTTTGATTGCTGCCTTCCCCATTGCATTTGCTTTAGGAGCTGGTAAGTATTTGAATAATTTCAATAGTGATGGAATTTAATTTCTAAAGATGCTATGGCTGGTGCCTTAACTGGAGCTTCAATGAATCCTGCAAGAGCTTTTGTAAGTTTTCACACAAATTTCACAATTTACAAAATTTCCTTAACTTGAATTATTGAAATATTTGCTCAATTTTAACATTTACGAAAACAACAGGGTCCACAAGTTGTTGGAGGTGTTTGGTATGCTCATTCATGGATCTATTATACAGCACCATTTATTGGAGCTGCCCTTGGAGCAATTGTTTATGAATTCTTACTTACCAAACCAAAGAAATTACAACACTACACTTCACTTTTACATATTAATACAAATTATGATGATTCAGATGATGAAAAGGATCAAGAAGAAGATCTTAGAAGCCAACAAAGCAATGCCTTATTATATACCACTAATCATTAAGAATTTTATTAGAGAAATAACAATTTTGGTGTGACATGTTAGTGTCAACATTGGAAATTCAATGATTGAAATAAAAAATACTATATATGAATTATTTGAATCATTCATGATACTTTTCTTTCACCAATAACTTCAAGTGAAAGTCTGAAAATTATCACCTTGAAGTTTTTGATCAACAAGTTGTAAAATTTTCAAACTCAAAAACACAAGTGTTTCAATAAGTCTAACGATCATCTATTTGGTAACTGCCATTTCACCACATTCATATGTTAAAGAGAGAGAGATACCTTCTTGTTCCTCCAAGATGAGGACTATCATTAATGGGTACCTTTAAGGTAAATTACATTACACCTTTCATTACCCATATCACAATACAGTTGGTTATAGACGTTATGAGATTGTTCCTTCTCATTAAACGACGTAGTGATTGTTGTCGCATCTCAGAGATCTCACAACACCTCATCTTAATGAAACGCGAAAGTTTCAAGAGCACAATCCTCAGAGATCCTCAATCACATGAAGAGAGCGTTTCGTACTGATGGATTATTAAGGTAAGCAAACTTGGTAAAATTCTTACTGTTACTACATCAAACGAGATGGCTGCCCATTAGGAAGTCCTAACTTGCACATCTTTTTCCAAAGAGTGAGTCCGTTGTTTTCTTGAAGGGAACAATAGAATCTCTTTCCAAGTGGGAACATGTTGCTGTTGTGGAGAATTGAGACAACAATGCTCCACTAGAGGTGTACTGAGTTTGGCTGGCTTGCTCTCTATTCCCACACCACTCAAAACAAAATGACTCTACAAGAGCCACAAGAAGAGAGCCAAATCACTTTTACACACACTCAATTACCATCGATGATGAACCATGCTGCAAACAGCAGTGGAATACAATTGAGGTTAGATATTGAGGATCTGTTAAGGGAGTATGTAGCCTTAATGCAGGCATCTGCTCCAATTGCTTCTACTAATTCTACCATGGAACAGTTCTTCCACCAATCGAACAGCCCTTCTCATCACAGTAATTTATCAAATGATATAGATAATGTGTATTACTGTAAAACAGTAAGCCCAAATAATTCTGTAAATGTCTCTGAACAGCAGGTTACCAATACTATTACACTTCAACAAGACATTGTTCAAGATCGTGAGCAACAAGCAAAGAAGGGAAATTCCAAAAGGAAAAGTTCCGTTGATGATAAGCCAAATTATTCCAAATCCAAGGTAGGCAAAACACGAAGAAGAAAGAGCAAACTTCCAGGTGAATCAGAATTTAAATTATGGACTTGGATTGGAGAGAAGAGTTTATAGAGAGTGGTGTGAATTATTCTTCATCTATTGCTGATTCCATTTCCTCCAATAGCAAGTGAGTAGTGATGTAATGCAATAGGTAGAGATGGTATTTCTGAAAGATTGAATATTGGCTGTCTTGTGAGCTTCAAACTTTTCATAGAGTTCAAACAGATTCTTAGATGGATAGTCATTTGGATCAATTAGCAAGTACTCTCTCAATTCTAAAATCTTTTCATTCAGTAATTCAATGAAAGTCTCATTGGAAATATCTGATTTGAAAATGTCAAAGATGGTGTGATATTTCTGTATTCTAAGGTTTTCGTTTTGATTTTGAAGGTCGTACATCCCTAATGAAAGAAGAGCCATGTTACAGATTACAAAATAAATAATTGAACTTACATTCATTCTCCTCTATTGCTGATTCTCTAATTAATTCATAAACAGAGGAAACTGTGTCAATGGTTGTGAGTTGACTCTTGAGATTATTCTGCATCATTGTCAAGAATTTCTTTCTTAATGGATCTGAATAGAACTCTTTCCACAGGTCGTGAAAGGAAGTACTTGTTCGATTCCTTAAAGGTTGATTCATCCACTAGAATGTTAATCTTCAATTGATTGGCCAATAAGCTCAAATTCTTTGCAATCACAGTTGACTCTGAAACAATTGAATAATATCTGAATGATCGTGTTCCCAAGTTTCCTACATGACAATTCTCATTCGTTGAAATTCCCATTGAAAAATTGAACGATTCCACCTTTTCTGAAGACAAATCTTGTTGAGTATTCAAAGCTTGGAATCCTCTCTTAACTTTAAGAGCAGTTACGGCAATGTGTTTATGTTCTCTTCCAGTATCGAATACCAAAACATACTCTGATATGGAAACAACTTGTAAATTGGCTTGGAATTGTTGAGCTGCACTTCTAATGACAGATACTATTTTAGGGAATGTTATTGAAATTTCCTCTATTGTGTGCATGTCAGTATATTGAGGGAGAGTAATATTCAAAACACTGCATTCCTTCTTGTTGAGACCCATCCTGAATAGAGAGCTGGTGCTTCCCTTAGAGGAGAGTGATGCTTGTCTCTTAATGAGACTTTTCGAATTGGAATGTTTGAAAGATGAATAGTTTGATCTATTATCTGATACGAAACCCTTAAATGACTGGTCTGCTGTTGATTTTGTGTCGATGGAATACTTTTCTGTGTTGGATATTGGTGCCTGTCCATGGTGGTGATTGATGAGGGATTTTCCATTGTTCAGCTCAATTAATTCCTTTTCAGTCTTTTCAATTTCGTCCAATTGATTAACAACAGTATCAGGGAGGAAACTCTTAATTTCCGATAGACATTTAACAGTGGCTGCCAAACTTTGATAAATACTTTCAATTTCAATAAACATTGAAGAGTTTCGTTTCACATTTGCCAAATCAAAAACTTGAATCAATGATAATTGTTTCTCCAAAAACAATATTGGTCTAATGGCTATTCGACTAAGTAAAATTCTATATAAAACACTAAACACCAAAATACCAAAAGCAACACAAATGGAAGCTATAATACTATTGTGAGCTGTTTTGGAAATATCATCAGAATAGACAATAATAAACTGTCGCCATGCAATATTCTCATTGGTGTAATTAGAAACTGAAACAATATAAGAAACACCTCCACTTGTAATTGAAAAGAAGGATGGCAAGTTATAAAAGTCATAGCTTACAGCAATTGACTTCATTAAAGCTCCTGCATTTCTATCTGTGAGATCAAAAACACTGAGGGCCTTCTTTCCATCCTCACTAGTTGTTCAAATACTTCCTGCAATAGTTGTTGGACCATTCATTTCAGTAAGAATTGTAACCTTGATCTAGAATTTTCACCTCCTTCAGAAAGTCAGAAAAGAGAATTAATGGAATTGTGCATCTGCAAATTCCTTGAATAATCTTACTTCCATTCATTCTCAAAATCAATGGATCGAATAAAGGAGTTGCATATGGAAGAGCAATACTTCCATTAATGATATAGAATGGAGATGAGAAAACTCCCTCAGTTTTCAATTTTTCAATATTTGTTAAGGTGTCCAATATTTCGTTTAGTAATTTGGATAAACGTTCTCCTTTTTGATTTCTTGATCTCGGTTCCAAATCTTCTGCTGATGTTGTAGATCTCTTTGTTGAGGTAGTTGTAATATTTGTGGATGTACATTCATTACATTGTAAACCAGCACTCTATTTAATTTCAATGGCTGGTTTTTTTGTTGACTTTTTTGTTGTACGTGGATTAAATTCTGATGACTCATTGGACATTTCTGGTGAACTGTTACTGGCTCTATGAGTTTGACAATTTCTATATTTTTGAAAGTCTGTTTTGATTTTCTCGACTTGAATTGAGAGTTTGAATTGTTCGTATAATTTCTCTAACATCTCTAGACCATATGTTGTTCTTCTCTGGGTTTTATCTTGTTGTTACATTTCTGATAACAAATTCGATCAACGGAGGAATTTATTATTTATTCAATAACTAGTGATTTGTAAAGAAATGTAATGCAGGATTGTAATATATACATCTCATAGGATATTCTCTCTTCGAATGATATCTCCAGAGTGGTAGCATTCCCTGGGAGAGGTTCTCAAACATTAACAATTTACTTCGTATGTCGGCAAGAAATTTTAAAAAGTTGGACCAAAAATTTTTATTTTACAAAATTTCCTTTTATTGCGAGCTACAGTGCCACCTTAATTCCGTTTGGCGCTAATAAAAATCTGATTAAAAAAAATGGATACCACTGATGAACCAGAGTTCGTATTTGACAATGACTACATCCAGCATGTAGATATTGCCATGGACTACGCTGACAGCGGGGAGTGTATTTTTTCTGATAATGAAGGCAATCTTCAAGGAAGTATTCACTTAATCACTGAAAGTCATACAAGCAAAACTTTGAGCGGCAGTGTGAAGAAAGCCATTCAAACTTCCTCCCGATCTGTGTGCCGTCTCTATGTACTATACAAGTCAGATTGTAATAAGGGTATAAGATCATTTGGTACAGCTTTCTTTGTATCTGAGTCATTATTAATGACTGCCCAACATTGCATCAAGCCTTCTCATACAATAGATGGGGTCGTGTACTTCTTAAAAAGTACATACATTGATCTTTCCTGTTGTTCTAGAGACTCACAATTTGAAATTGATGACTCTAGTTTGATAAAGAAGGTGCAAATTGTAGATAGAAGCAATTTTGAGAAAGATATCCAACAATTGAAGATGCCTGGAAAGGATGTTCCATGGAAGACTAGCAACGACTTCGCATTTCTAGAACTTGACCAAAGGAACCTCACCACCCCCTTCATACCTGTTGAAACAACATTAGAGGGTAATCAGTGTTATGTTATTGGGTATCCCGGCACTATTTCTATTGAAAAATTCAAAAAGGATTATTGCAGAGATTTAGATGATACCAAATCTAACCAATTGTGGGGAAAAGTTCAGCGTGAAATGGGCTATTTTGAATGCAAAATTGCCAGCCAAGGAACGTTTCAAGTTAAAACTGGAGATTATTTGTACACACATAATTGTCCTACTTTGTGTGGAACAAGCGGTGCTCCGGTTGTAAATGAAAATGGGAAGTTAATTGGAATTCATGTGGGTGGAGACTATGCATTACACAATAATTTCTGGATAACTATTTCCAATCAACATTTGAAGAGTGCTCTCATTTCTATGAAAGTTTGTTCTGATCAATCCTTTGTATCGCTCCAATAATCACTAATCTAAGAATACAATTTTGTGGGCTGTGAACATGGTGTCATGCCAACAATCTAAAAGGTTCATTGATTTCTCTATGAAACTTTTAGAAGAATAGAACAAACAACAGAAACAATCAATTCTAGATCAGTTCACCAACTCTCAGTAATCCAGGTACTAACCTCCAGGAGGTCGAATAAAAGTGACATGACGAATGAGCGGGAAAGTTGCTCGCTCCTGAATATTTTGCTTTCTTTGTTTTCACTCTCCAGCTAAAAAATTTTCGTTAGACGGAAGGGTTAATAACATTATAATATGACGCTGCTTTGGTTGATGCCTTAATTGCAAAGGGTGTTTGGTTGGCCTATTCAGGACGATAGAATCTTATCTGGACAAGCAAATAAAGACCAAATCAAAGGCGAATTATCGGACAATGCAACTATAATACAAATTAGTATTTAATTAAGGGCAATAAGTGAAGTACTTGAATTGTTCTCAATCAAGGTTCTTATTAAGATGCATTAATGAAATCCGAAAATTCATTATTCTTGAATATTATTATTGGTAGTGGAATTTGGTAGAAGAAGTGGGAATTACAGGAAGTTTGATTCTAGTTTCGGTACATTCGTGTGTAGAGAAATCTCTTCTCTTGATATCCTTGTGGCAAGAAGGACAATGAGTTTCATATTCTGAAAGATCAACTTGTTTGGCAACTTTAAGATCATATTCCAATTCATTTCCAGAGTGGCAGATTTGATTATGTTTGGAATAGTCGCATCTCTGTACGAGGCATCCACAATAGAGACAGATGATGCTCGAAGTTTTCAACCTGTTGGAAAGGTCTCTTCTCTGCTCTAGGATTTCATCAATTGATTGGGAATAGTCAATTGGCTTTACATTTTCGAGTGACTTATCCATAAGTACTTGACTTTCTAACACTTGCAAGTCGACCTTATTTGCATATTTTGATTGCATGCTTTGCAGTGCTGGAGTGTGCTTTCTTGGCACGAGGCATACTTTTGCTGGTTTGGCATATCCAGACATAAACTCTAATAATTTATCCAATTCTGGGTTTTGTTCTCTGCAGTCGCCATATCCTCGAATACACAAACTCTTAAGGAATGAACGTCCTGCCCCGCCCTCTTTAAATACAAATAAAAGAGTCTCGATTAGTTTGGAACTCAATTCGCCATATGAAAAAGAACGAATGGATAGATCCAATTCCTCTAAGGTCTTTAAGGAATACAAGCTATTTTGCAACAAGTCAATATCATTTTCATTATCCACATGACATGAAAATAGCTTAATATTTGGGAAGTGTGTTATCCATCTATCTATTCTATTGGTAAAGAATGAACGTCCCTCCAATTTGAGTTCCAAAACATTTGGAAGTTCTTTCAGGTTTGGATCTGAGGTGAGGAATATTGGAGAGCTGTGTCTCATCAATGCAAAATCAAAGACACCGTCCAGATTTATGGACAGCTTCTTGACGCATTTGAATTTTGCTAAGAGTTCCAGAAAGGCCTTCGTCATTTCCACTGTATCAAAAATAGACAATGATTCTTCCCAATACGAATATTGAACTGTTCCAAGTGTAACTTCCAGCTCCTCCACAATATTATTTGAGGTAGATGAGAGTTGATTCAACTGAGCTGCTTTGGTATAATTGAGATGAAGACTCAATTTCTTACAATTAGAAAGATTATTCAATTCAAAAAACTTTGGTCCAATATACATTGATTCCAATACATTTGATGCAATACTATATTCAGTGTCATGATATAGATATTTGAGATTTTCAAATTCTGAAGTATTGGTAAGTAAAAAACCAGTGACATTGTCAAGGACTAGATTTTCCAACTTGTCCTTCACCCAATCAAAACACTGACAAAAAGGTTGATCAACCTTACATGTTTTCAATACTACTGTTTGTAAATTATCTTTACAAGCTTTGAATAAATTGCAAAATGCATTCGAATCAAAATTAAAATCCAACTTGATGAATGAACAATTGGTTGGATAGGATGTTTCCATTGAGAATGTTGGTTCTGTGAAATAGTTTGGCAAGTAGTTGACCACTCTTTGTGAAAATTCCTTCTTTCTTTGTTGATGAAGAGATGGGAAATGAGTATTCCTTGGACGTGATGGAGCATACCTATCTAGATTAGCTTCCTGAATACTCCCATAGATGAATAGATTGAAAATCTTCATCCTATTACTCTCCACAAACTTGTGCAAATACTTTACGAAGGGAATAATATCCTTCTCAATCATCATGTGTTTTTGATATTGCTCCTCCTTCTCACTACTAAATAAATGATCAAAATCACCACCATACAAATCAATATTCGGATAGATGTGCAATGTATTAATTTGTTGAATGATAATTTCTCTCCATGATGAACACACCCGAGGAATGATCATCATGATTGATCTAAAATCCAGATAGGATATGATTGAGTAGAGTACTTCTGGAGGAACCCTCGAATGAAACCAACCACCTGATCGTTGTTGCTCATCTTCATCATTCTCTTCATGAATCGTTGTTCTTGTTATAGGAGATGAATTGAACATTTTTTTGATTCTGTCTTCAATCAATCAACTATTTAAATCCAACCATTAACAACATCCATTGACTATCAGTTATCAGTTTTATGATCATTCCGATTCTGGTAAATTGTTTTCATCAAATCAAATCAATTAAAATTTTAATTACTTGAAATTCATCGATTAATTTTTTAAAATGTTGGCAACCACAATAAATGAGAGGAAAAGCAAAGAGTGAAATACAGAGAGAAAGGCGAGAGAGGAATTTGATGTTTTGTTTTTGTTACAATTAACAGAACTTTGTTTGGAATGATGAGAAATGCTAAGCAGGTGCACAACAGAGGTCTACGATGATAGAGTGCGCTCAAAACTACCAAGATCTGTCCTGACTCGATTTTTAACACTTTTTTATATTTCAAGTATGTCAATACTCAATTTCAAATCTTAGATCTTTCTGAATTAATTGAAATAAATTAAGGTTTATATATTTTACAATTGAAGATTGAGTTTGTACATGGGATTAATCATTAGATCTACGCTTAGACATTGGTGAAATGAAGGATCTGAGAGCATCAGCATTATTGGCTTGAGCAGGCTTTCTGTGATTGAGTGGAACATACTTTCTATGGTCAATACCAGTATAGACTTGCTTTGGTCTGAAAATCTTGACTTCAGGATCTTCCAAACTTTCAATCCAGTGAGCTAACCAACCAGCACATCTTGGAATGAGGAAAAGAACTGGATAATAGTCAGCTGGGAAACCTAAACACTTGTAAACCAAACCAGTGTAAAAGTCAACATTTGGATACAATTTACGTTCCTTAAAGTATGGATCATTGAGGGCAATTTGTTCGAGTTCAACAGCAATTTCAATCATTGGTTCCTTGCCCAAAACTTGGAAGACTTCATCGGCAACCTTCTTGACAATCTTGGCACGAGGGTCATATGAACGATAAATTCTGTGACCAAAGCCCATCAATTTCTTCTTTCTTTGTTTGACTTCTTCAATGAATTTTGGAATATTTTCCTTTGTTCCAATTTCTTCCAACATGTGAAGAACAGCTTCACAAGCACCACCGTGCAATGGACCATACAAGGCACCAGCTGTTAATTTACATTCCATTAAATTATTATAGAAATATTAAAATATATCATTTGATATTTTGATAAATTACTTACATGCACCAGCAATTGAGGTGTATGGATCAACTCTACTACTGCTCAAGTGACGCATAGCAGCAGTGGAACAGTTCATTTCATGTTCTGCGTGAATAATCCACAATTTTTCAAGAGCACGAGCAAGAACTGGATTTGGATGATAGTTGACTTCACTCAATCTGTCCAACATGTACAAGAAGTTACCAGTATAGTTAAGGTTATTGACAGGATTATTGTAAGGTTTACCAATTCTGTGACGATAAGCACTGGCAGCAATGGTTGGCAACTTTCCGAGAATACGATAAATTTGCTTAAATCTAAGTGAGTCAACCTTGACACAATCCTTATCAGCACCCTTCAAGAACAAATCAGATCCTTGGAGGGATGGATTAGCATCTTCATAGAAAGTACCCATGGCAGCAATTGATGAAATAACCATTCCCATAGGGTGAGCATCATATCTAAATTGTTTCAACAAGGTGACCATGTTTTCGTGGAGATAGGAGTGTTTAGTAACTCTTTCTTCCCATAAATTCAATTGATTTCTATCTGGAAGTTCACCATTGATTAACAAGAAGGCAACTTCAAGGAATGATGATTTTTCGGCCAATTCTTCAATATCATATCCACGATAACGTAAAATACCTTTTTCACCATCAATATATGAAATACTACTTCTAGAAATGGCTGTATTCATAAATCCAGGATCCAAACAAACAAGATCCAATTGTTCAAAAGCAACTGATCTGATGGCATTTCCTTCTTCTACATTAATTTTGATGATTTTTCCAGTCTTTGAATCCTTAACTTCAAGGAAACGTTTTTCACCAGGATTTGATGGAGCAGTAGCACTAGTCAAATTAGTGCTCAACATTTCTCCTCCAACAACTTGAGGCATCAAGTGTTGTTTAATTGATTGCATTCTACGTTCAGCTGAAGACATTTTTATATATTATTTACAATAACTTGAAATGATGATGATTAGAGTGTGGTATTTTGAAAAATTATACAAAGTATTATATTCTAATAATACAATGAGAGAGACGGAGGAGGACAGAAAGGGACAAAGTGTGTTTGCTTCTCTGTAACAAAGGAGAGATGGTAGGAACTTTTTTTTGATAAATTTTTTAAAGCCTTGTTTGATGTTTGGTTGTTTCTGTCTATTGGTTTGCTTAAGAAACGGAGAATTGCAAAATTGTTTGTCGCTTGTTTCGTGCTTAGTCAACGCGTGGAAGAAATAACAAATCTCCGAAGGCCATTTACTGTAGAGACAAAGAATCCATTGTAAACATAGAGTCAATTAAAGATATTTGTTGTAAATGGCATAAAAAACATGATTAGAGTATCAAGCTTTTGAAGCGTGTCAGAATTTGCCATTTCTGATTCATTTTATTCAGTCAATTGTGAACTCAAAAGGTAAAATTGTAAAGTTTATTGATTCGAATAAATCAGTGATACGGTCGAGATGATTACAAGGAAACAAAAGACATAAACCACACCATCACTAATAGATTTCTGCTCTTCTTTCTGAAATTCATCGTTCATTGTTTGATTTTTGAATATTTCAGATTTAACAATTTGAAAATTAATCTTTCCCACCATTTTGTCCACAACATTTTTGGAAGAATCTCTATTTGGAAACTCTCTGGCTAACCAATTAAGCAATTCGTGAGCAGATCCCATTTTCCAATTAAAGAATTTCAATATAATTTCCTTTTTAATCTTCATTTTCCTTGAAAAATGTTGGAGTGCAAAATATTGAAGTGAAATTTTCTTAATTTCTTTAAGGTTCATATCAGAAATTCCATCAATTTTTAAAAAATCCAAATTTTTCTCTTTTTCCAAATCATATGAAAAAGTTTTCGTTCTTTCCAAATAGAAATTCTTCACATTTTCTTTAGAAATGTCACAATTCAAAGCAATACTTTCCAATTGATGATTCATAGCAAGCTGGATATCATTTTCTAATGAAGCAAGTCTTGAATTTTCATAAAATTGTTCATTTTCGTGATAAAAATCTAGAAATGTCAAGAGGCTTTCTTCATATATTTTAGTTTTGAGAATACTGAGACAGCACTTGTCATTAATTGAAGTGCATTGAGAGATGAGTGGATTCTCAAGAGAATGGACGAAAGATAGAGACGAAAGTAATATAAGAAAGCAATAGAGAATTATTCTATGTTTTGTAGAAGACATTTTTTTAAGGTGTTTCGATAGTAAACACACAAAATAAAGTTCAAATAATATTTAGACAATTGGGTATTAA